TTTTTTGTTTTTGTTTGTTTTTAGGGTTTTTTGAGACAGGGTCTTGCTGTGTAGCCCAGGCTGGCCTTGACTCTTGGCGATCCTCCTGCCTCAGCCTCCCTGGCTTCACTTGTGATCTCTTACCTTGCTCAGGACCAGATGTGCCTGATGGTCGTGGACATGCTGGAGTACGTGCCTGTGAACAAAGACTTCCGGCACACGGCTGGGGCGGGACACAGATTACGCCTTGCATACTCCCCCTCCCTGGGCCTCTACCTGGGGGCCTACGTGCACGCTCCAAAGCAAGGACAGGTAGGGGACGAGGAAGATGCGGGAACGAGCTGGAGGCTTGCGAGTCTCAGCTCTCTGCGCCCACCCAGATGTCCCAGGTGTCTCGTTGTTTGTAGGTGACGGTGAGTTTTCCTAGTCCCCCAGTGAGAAGGTCTTGAGGTAGGGTCAGGATGAAAGGAAGTGGAGAGTCTAAAGAAGTATGAAAGGAAGCCTTCAGAAAGCACATTTCCAAGTAAATGGTGGGAAAATGGCCTTACTGCACAGGGATGCGGGTGTGGTGCGGGGCGGTGGGAGGCTGATTTTTAAGAGAAGCTGCTCCTCACCCCAATGCGGGCTGCAGGGCACCAGGAGCAGCGCCCCAGGCCTGCGCCTGCTCTGGGCTCCCGCCACGTGTGCTCCCCGTGGAGCAGCTTGGCCGTGAGGTGGCTTTGTCCCCTGCGCTGTGCTGTCCTCTGGCCTCCCTGCCAGTGCCCGCCTCACCTCTGCTTGGTGGGCATGGTCCTGGTCTGGCAGGTGAGAGACTTCTAGAGAGTGGTGGCACAGCCCTACCAAACTGCACACCTAGAAGTGGCTACGCCAGTACATTTCATGTTGTAACTGTTTTCCGTGACGATTTGTGAGCACTAATAACCCTTTCACAGGAAAGTATCACGCAGGCTGTTTCAGCTAACACACTGTCACCTTGCGTTGTCACAGTTCTGCATCTTCCAGTTGGTGAGCACCGAGAGCAACCGCTACAGTCTCGACCACATCTCCTCCCTCTTCACCTCTCAGGTGGGCCACTAACCTGGGCCCACCACTCCAGCCTCAGGGATTGGCTGGAACCAGCCTTGGTGCCTGTGCCTGTATTCCTGGCTCCTCTGGAAGGAGGCCAAGGCAGGAGGATCATTTGAGTCCAGGAGTTCAAGTACAGCCTAGGCAACGTAGTGAGACTCTGTCTCGAAAACAAGTTAACAGGGCCGGGGAGTTAGCTCAGTGGTTTCGCTGCCTGCTGTGCAAGCACAAGAACCCAAATTCAATCCCTGCTACCAAAAAAAGTGAGCGAGCAGACAACTGCCCGTGACTGCACTGTGTAACAAGTGGTAGCCACTGTGGTCTACTTGGTGATGTGTGAAATGGTTTCCCTTGGTCTCCTCCAGTTCCTGTGGTCCGTATTTGTATGCGCTTACCCCCCACCCAGCACACACTACAGTGACCTCGCACTGCTGACTTCTTTCAATTCTGAACCCTGTTCTCCCCGCTTCTCCCTAGGAGACCCTGGTTGACTTTGCCTTAACCCCCACGGATGTCTGGGCCCTGTGGCATGATGCTGAGAACCAGACCATCGTGAAATACATCAACTTCGAACAGTGCGCTCCGCCGACTATCCCCCTGGCAGGGGACTGCATGCTGGGGCGGGGCTTTCCTTGGGGCCAAGTCAGGAGCTTCCATGGGGAGGGTTTTCAGCTGCATTTTGATGTTTTTGCTGTTTTGCAGTACTGGAAATTAGACGCAGGGCCTTATCCTGAGCTATATCCCCGGCCCAAGACGAGGTCTCACTGTGCAATCCAGGCTGGCCTCAAACTCTCAGTGATCCTCCTGCCTCAGCTTCCTGAGTGCTGGAATTATAGGCACGGGCCACCACATCCAGCTTCTGTTTCTAAAGTACCTTCTTTGCATTTTGTGGAATTCTGTGTTTGCTGCCTCTGTTTCAGGACAGGGTGGAGATACTGAAGGTTGTTCTGGGATAAGGAAAAGACATTGTTTCTTGAAGGAGAGTTGGCATATATCCAAACACTTCTAATCTGGAAGTGCTCTTTACTTCTGAGCAGACTCTTCCTGAAGTGCAGCCCCCTCATGTTCTCAATTTTCTCATTGTGAGATGAAAACCAGATTACATAAGTACAGCACATCTCAAACTTTTTAAAATGGGAAACTTATTTTCTTTTTTCAGAAAAAGAAAATGAAGTCAGGGCCGAGGATATAGCTCAGTGCCACAGCAAGCACAAGGTCCTGAGTTTAATTCCTGTTACCGGGGGGAAAAAAAGAAAATGAAGTCAGATAAATAAAGCAAAATCACTATTTTGAGTATAAAATGACAACGTAATATGTTGATAATCCCTAATATTAGATATATTCTGCATGTGACATTAGTAGTTTGTTTTGTTTGAGGTACTGGGAATTGAATGCAAGGAGTGCTGAGCTATATCTCCACCCCTTTAAATTATTTTATTTTTAGGGTCTCAATAAGTTGCCTAGGCTGTGTTCAAACTTTCGATCCTCCCATCTCGGCCTCCTGAAGAGCTGGATCACACACGTCACTAGGTCCACTAGCTTAAAAGGGTTTTTTTTTTGGTACCGGGGATTGAACTCGGGTCCTTGCGCTTGCGCAGCAGGTGGTGAAACCACTGAGCTAAATCCCCGGCCTAGCTTAAAAGTTTAATGGTTGCAAATATATTTTTTTAAACTTTCATTTTTAGGTTTGTTTCTGGTTTTTTGTTTTTTAAGACAGGGTCTCACTATGCAGTCCAGGCTGGCCTTGAACTCACAGGGTTCCTCCTGCCTCAGCCTCCCTAGTGCTGAGGTTACACCCCTGTGCCACCACACCTGGCTCTGAAAAACAGTTTTGAAGCAAACACCTATGCAAGCCCTGAGATACCCTTCAAGGAGTCCCTGGACACGGCGCGGGGACCCTGGAACTCCTGAGCCTTTTGGGTCCCTTGGTGCTACATCCCGGCCAGAATTCCAGGCTTGGTGCCCGGTCGCCTGGTCACTCCGTTCCACATTGTGCACACGAGGGCGCTGCTGTGGCACCGCTGGAGCCAAGCAGGCGGGTGGCACAGGTGCCTGAGTCCTGCACATGCGGCTGCCAGGCTGGGATTCACGCTGAGCCTCGAGTCCCACTCTGCCCGATGGGCCATGGCTCTCTCTGGGACTTTCCCCAGGGCGGATGTGAGCAGTGCCTAACTGTACCCACACTGTATCCAGCAGAATGCAGGTGCAGGGTAGCATGGACTGCGATTTGTAGATTTGTGGGTAGTTTTAATTTCAGACCTGCTGTGGCAGCACACACCTGAATCCCAGTGCTCAGGAGGCTGAGGCAGGAGGATTGCTGGGAATTTGAGGCCAGCCTGGGCTATGATACCCTGTCAAAAAAAAGAGTCTAGGAGTTTTAATTTCAGGAGGATCCCTATTAAAAATTGGTATGAAAGTCACATCTATAAAAACCAGGCTTGGGCTGGGGATGTACATAGCTCAACAAGAAGCATGTCCTAGCCCCTGCACTAGGAGTGCCTCTTGGGGTGGGTGAGCGCCTTTGTCTGTAACCAGCAGTGGCTGGTGGTGGGGCTTCAGGGCCAGCTCCGACCAGACGCTGCCAGCAGGGTAAGCAGCTCATGGACGGACCTGCCGGACTTGTCTCTGCAGTAACGTGGCAGGACAGTGGAACCCGGTCTTCATCCAGCCGCTGCCGGAAGAGGAGCTCGTCATCAGAGACGACCAGGACCCCAGGGTGAGCCCTGCTGCTCCGTGAGGCGTGCCTTGCCTTGGGTGTTCTTCTGAGCAGCCCCAGTCGGGTGAAATGATTGAAGCAGGCTGTGTGTGTACAGATCTGCCGCGACGAAGCCCAGCAATCTGGGTGCGCTTTTTTTTGGTTTTTTGAGGCAGTCTCACTATGTAGTCTAGGCTGGCTTTGAACACACTGTGTAGCCCAGGCTGGCCTCGAAATTGCTGCATTTCTCCTGCCTCAGCTCCCTCATGCTGGGATTATGGGATTACAGGTGTGTACCACCTCCCCTGGCTCCTGTAAAACCAATTTTTTTAAAAAAGAACGAGAGGAAAAAAACACAGCTGTATTAGTCAGGACTGACAGCTGCAGGTACCCTGAACTTACTGCAGGTCAGGGAGAATCAGGCAGCTGGTGCAGCTGAAAAGTTGGGGTGCCTGCTCCCTACCACGCGGGATGCTGCTCAGGGCTCCACTCCTGCTGGCCCCATTTGCCCAGCAGCCTCCTGGAGTGGCCTCCCTGGAGCCTCCCGGCACAGGCGAGTTCTCCATGTTCCTGGCTACCTTTCCCTCTGGGAGATCCCTTGGCAGCTTGTGTTTTGTTCGCATGTAGTCCCTACCACCATCCGTCCCTTTCCTGCCACCTGGAGCAAGTGCTTTACACAGCTGTGACCAGCTTGGCTTCGCAGTTCTCCTAGCAGCACGGACGCCCTGGAAGCTGGGGCCGCGTCTCCGAGTGAGGCTGGCCCTCCACAGCCTCATCCCTGGGGATGGGAGTGGCCACACAAGGGCCCTGGCCGCATGAACTGCAGCCGTGACCTCAGGGGAGAGCAGCCCGGCCTGCATGCCCCGCTGTCCAGATGCAGACCTGTGGAGACGTGAGGAACCATCCAGGGCGGTGTGCGGAGTGACCTAATGTCCTGTCCATGTTCTCACAGGAGATATATTTGCGGAGCCTTTTTACTCCAGGACGGTTCATCAGTGGAGCACTATGTAAAGCTTTACAGGTCAGCACGAGAGCATTGTGTGTCTGAGGCTAGCCCTGGTTTCACTGCTCTTTTCTGTTTTGCTGTGTTAAACTGAACGTGTGTTTGTGTGCAAACGCTGTGGTCATTACTTCAGATGTGCTTCCCACTGGAGCAGACGGCAGCCAGGCGGGAGTGGGCCATGTCCCCGGGAGCTGGGAGCACTTGGGTCAGAGAGCTGCTTGGCCTCCGTATAACCCCTACACTTGCAAGAAATGTAAAGTGCTCTGGGTTTCTTATTTGCTTGGTTAGTGTTTCGTTTGCTCTGAGACAGGGTCTCCCTGTAGTCTAGACTGTTCTGACATTGGCTGTGTAGCCCAGGCTGTCCTCGAACTCCTGACCTTCTGCCCCAGCCTCCCAAGCGCTGAGGTTATGGTGTGCACCAGGAATGAAACTGAGGGACTCGTGCCTGCCAGGCAGACCCTGTGCCGCTGAAGTACCTTCCCAGCCTGGAGAATTTTGATTATGCTATTTTTACACTTTTACTGGGACAGCGAATGTCTGACTTGGTGCCTATAAGAGGAAGACTAAAACTCTCAGGGGTGCTGCCACCTGCCTCACAAGCACAAGGTCCCGAGTTCAATCCCTGGTACCAAAAAAAAAGAAAAGAATACTTATATTTTTTAGCTTCTCAGTCACACAGTCTAAGAGGTGCTTAATGTCTTGCACAAGTTGTCTTCTTTGTTTTTCCTTGCAGTAGCAGGATCCATTCCAGGGTGCTCTGACACTGAGCTTCACCCGTGGCCCATTTTATGGGGATTCTGTTGTTGTTTTTTATTTTTTGGTAGCAGGGTTAGAACTCAGGACCTTGCACTTGTGAGGCAGGCACGGTGCCACTGAGCTAAATCCCTGGCCCCCTTTCTATGTTTTTGCTTTTTGGTTTTTTTCATAGAAAATCATTTACTGGTACATTTTAGATATACATAATGGTAACATTCATCACAGGGAATTTGTACCGGTACATAATGTATCTTGCTGTTTCTATTTTTTCCCCCAGTTCCCCCTCTCCCTTACGTACAAAAGCTTTGTTTCTATATTTTCCTTTGATTTTCTCTTTTTTTTCTAGTCCCTTCTTTCCTTTCCCCTTCCCCCTCCCTTGTTCCGTTTTGAAGCATGGTCTCCCTGAGTAGCCCAGGCTGGTCTAGAGCTTACAATCATCCTGCCTCAGCCCCCTGAGTGGCTCGGACTGCAGACGTATGCCACTGCGCGTGGCTTTCAGAAGCATTCTTTAAAATGACAGAGTTTGTTACGTTTTCTCTGACTTCGTGGTCATAGAACTGAGAGGCCCTCTGGTCCTGGGCCCTCCCGTGGGCCCTCCCTCAGCCTCTGGCCACCTCTGCCTCTCCCCAGCCGCGTTGCGGCCCGGTGTGGGCTGCTCCCTAGCCGTCTACTAACACGCTTCCGCTTGTGCTGCACTGCCACTCCAACCTCCTGGTGGCTGGTGGCTCCTTGCTGTGGAACCTCACGGACCGTTCCTCTCTAAAGCATAGGTCAGCTGCCGTTCTCCACACCCACAATGGGCAGCTCCGGAACTTTCTCCCTGGCCGTGCTTTCCAGGCCCTTGACTTTTCTCATGAGTCTTGGCTCTTAGTTTTCTCTTCTCTCTTTGAGAAAACTGTAGGATGGCGCAGTTGCCTTCTCTTAAGGGCTTTTTTCTCTTATCTCATCAGCACATCCTCCTTGTTAGCAATAATCAAGTGTCTCACACTATTTCTCAAGGCATTTCTGGCCCAATGAGATGTTAAATCATCTGTAAGGCATTTATCAAATCCTTGGCTTTAGAAGAATCCTTCCCAGTGGAGGGACCCTCCCCACCACTATTCTAGTTTGGGGGGGGGGGCTGTGTGTGGTGGAATTAGGGTTGTGAAAGCTTCACACTGAGCTCCATCCCCAGCCCTCTTTATTTCAAGACAGGGTCTCACTGAGCTCCTGGGCAGGACTTGAACTTCCAGCCTCCTTGCTCTGCCTCCCAGGGTGCTGGGAGTGGAGCTGCCTGGCCAGGGCCAGCTTCTCGCTTCCTTCTGCTGTTTTAGCGTGTGTGCTTAGCATTATCTGCATCTTCCTTTCCAGCTGCACACTATCAGTTATTTCATTTCTGTAATGATCTGAACTGCTCTATGATAAGTCCCTGGTTCCTGGGCTTCCAGAGTTTATTCTGCTCTATCTAAACTACTACGCAGTTGCTAGGATTTCTCTCAGAAATCATCTGTGCAGTGTTCAAGGGTTTTTCAAGCACACCCAGTCTCCATTGCATAGTTGGACATTGCTGCAGTGCCTTCTAAGCTGGAGTATTTGCTACTAGGTCATGGGTACTATAATTCTCCACCACACTGCTTTTAATTTTAGATTTTCTGCCGAGGAACCGAGAGGAATTTGGATCTTTCTTGGAATGAGCTAAAGAAAGAAGTCACTTTAGCTGTGGAAAATGAGGTGAGGTTTGGGTGGAGGAGGGCAGGCCGGCGCTGGGGCCTGTCGGGGCGTTCGAGACCCCGCCTGCAGAGTGCAAACACCTGAACTTCTCACTGGAGAAGCGCAAGCGAGGCTGCCGGCCAGCAGCATCTAATAGACACCAGTTGTCCACTTGGCTGTAGCTCATGAGATCATAGAGGACAATCATGTTCAGGGGGAGAAAGATCCCAAAGGGTTCAAAAGGTTAACTTCCTTTCTCCTGTCAGCTCCACAGCAGTGTGACAGAGTACGAGTTCTCCCAGCAGGACTTCCGGAACCTGCAGCAGGAGTTCTGGAGCAAGTTCTACGCCTGCTGTCTGCAGTATCAGGAGGCCCTGTCCCAGCCCCTCGCCCTGCTTCTGAATCCACACACCAACATGCTGTGCCTGCTGAAGAAGGTGAGCCACAGCGTGGGGCCGGAACACCCAAAATACAGCACATCTGCAGCTCACTTCTGCGCTGCTGGCCGCACTTTCTTGTACTTTATGTGGTTCCCGTGCTTTTCATATTTTACTCACTTTTATACCAAAGTAGTCTTAGACTTACAGAAAGAGCAACAGTAGCACAAGGCATCCCACATCCCCTTCATCAAGACTCATCATTTGTTAGCCTTTATTTGCCTTGTTTTAAGGGCCCGGGGGTGGAGACTAGGCCCAGGCCTTATTCATGCTAAGCGCACTCTGTACCACTGAGCTGTGCTGTAGCTTTTCTAGCACCATTTCCTTTCCATCGTTCTGCATTTCCTGCTCTCTGAACCACTTGAGAGCTGTAGACCTCGTGCCCTTTACCCTGAGCCATTTCAGTGTGAATCTATAAACCAGGATGTTCTCTCAGATAACCACAACGCAATTTGAAGATCGGGCAGTTTTGAGCCTGGCATAGTAACAAATACCTGGGAGGCTGAAGCAGGAGGATCTCAAGTTTAAGCCTAGCCTGGGCGATTTAGCAACTTATCAAGAACCTCTCTCAAAATAAAACATTAAAAGGCCTGAGGGTGTAACTCAGTGTGAAAGCCCTGGGCTCAATTCCCAGAACTGAAAAAAAGAAAAAAAGCAAGTTGATATTGTCATAATAGTATACAGCTTATTTAAATTTTGCCAGTTGTACCCATAATTATCCCTCCAGATCTAGGATCTAGCCCCAGTTCTTACATAATTAGCTGTGTCTCTTTAGTATAATCTTGAACTGATTATCTTTCACGACATTTGACAGTCTTTGCAGAGTACTTGTGTTACGTTACAGTGTCCCTTGACTTGAGTTTGTCTGTTTCCTCATTATGAGATTCATGATTTCACTTGTTTTGTTTTAGGCAGTGCTGGGATTGAAGCCAGGGCCTGGATGCGGGGCACTGTACCACTGAACTACACCCCCTGGCCCTGTCAGTTCTTTGAAGTGACAGGTCAGCTTGTTTATGTGTGTCATGTACAGCGTGATTTGTTGTTCCACGTGACACACTGGGCTGTCAGCCATTTCATCCACATGAAAATTCCCTGATGAGGCCCTGTGTTCAGTGCCCAGCACGACACACGCACCTGATAGGAGAAACATAACAGCAAGCTTTGTGTTTCCAGGGGTACCTGTCCTTCCTTCTGCCCACTTCCCTCGTGGATCACTTGTACCTCTTGCCTGAAGAGAACTTTTTGACAGAGGATGAGACAGCCATATCTGATGGTAATAATAATTGTCTTGTCTGTTTAATCCTCTCTCTACATGAACCATATGCTTTATGCCAGATGGATGCAGAAATCACTGACTGCCCTTGTGACCTCTCCTGGCCATGTTCCCTCAGTGTAGATATTTTAAGGAAAACCAAAGAAGCCTAAGCATCTCCGAGATCTCAGGTCCTTTGGCATCTGGTTATTAATACTTGGAATATATGAATTAGTGGGTCACTGGCTTGAGACTCGAGTGTCCCCTCTCTCACTTGCAGACGTGGAGGTCGCCCGGGACGTCATGTGTCTCATGAGATGCCTGCGGATGATTGGAGAGTCCGTGAGCACCGACATGACCGTGCTGATGGAGATGAACTGCTACAGCCTGCAGTCCCCGGAGAAGGCTGCGGAACGCATTCTGCAAGACCTGATCATTATTGATGTGTAAGCGGAGCTCAGGGCAAAGCTCGTTTCCTAACAGGAATTCAGCAATTTCTAGGGCCAAAGCCACGTTTTGAATGTGTGTTCAAGTGTGTAGAAAGTAGTGGCTTAAAGCTGAAGTGTTTTTCCTTGAATCTAAACAGATGTTTGTGCTGAGTGTGTGTGATGCTGGTCATCCAGCCTCGGGCCTCATGCGTGCTAGGCACATGCTCGCAAGTCTCTTTCTCTTGTTTGTTTTGTTTGTCACTCCTGAAGCAGGAGAAATGTGTTAGTGGAGTGAAACAAAAGTGTCTTTGTCCAGCATGGTCACCTCTACCCATCGAATGGGGCTGGCTTCCCGGGTCGTAAAGCGTTTCCCTTAGAGCACTGTAGACCCAGTCTCTGTGTTCTCACTACTCAGTTTCCCAACTGTCCTCTCAGAGAAAATGTGATGGAGGACGTGTGCAGCCGACTGCAGGAGATGCGAAACCCTGCCCATGCCATCGGGCTTGTTTTACGGGAAATGGACTATGAAACGGACGTGGAGACGGAAATGGGCTTCAACCCAGGTAAGAGGGAGAGAGCAGGCGCTCCTCCGAGTGGAGAAGAGGCCAAGGCCCATTCACCCGCTTCTCATCTTGTTCCAGCTCAGCCTTTGAACGTGCGCATGAATCTCTCGCAGCTCTACGGCAGCAGCACGGCGGCCTTCCTCCTGTGCAGGGCAGTGCACAGGGTCGCCAGCACTCGCTTCCTCATCTGCCGCGACCTCCTGATTTTCCAGCAGCTGCTGACGAGGCTGGGAGATACAGTAAGTGCCTCCTGGAGGCCATTGGTGACCCTCAGGCCTGGCGGGCCCGGCAGGCAAGATGCATAGCAGGATGTCATCGCAGAGCACGGAGACTGCTCACCACCCCATCCCGCTCTGGGCCTGCCCACTGCTCCCCAGGAACTCGTGGGCTGCAGCTGAGGAAGCAGCAGAGTCTGGGATCACAGGTTGAGAGCAGTGCGAAGCAGGCTGCTGGTTAGGAGCCTTGGAAGGTGAAGTGCGGCGTGTCCTCAGGCTGGCCGTCCCGAAATTAGCATTAGCGATGCTGGGTGCACTAGTAGAGTTCTCTTAATGTGCAGGAGAAACAAAGGAGAAGGACGTTTTTCTTTCTTGTTTCTTCCTCCTCCTCCTCCTTCCCCTCCCCCTCGCCTCCTTTTTTCCTTCTAAATTCAGGATCTCACAGAATTGCCAGTCTGGCACTGAACTTGAGATCCTGTTGCCTCAGCCTCCTGAGTGCAGAGAACAGAGCACTCTTTCTGCAGGACCAGGCTTCCCTGAACATAGTTTTGAGATTACACACTTTGTCTGTGGTCCTTCCAGCTCCATGCCGGGGTCCCTTTCCCATCCTACTCTTCCAAGTCCACCAGACTGCCTTGCCGTTTTGCAGTCTCCATCACCCCTCCACTGAAGGCGCCTTGTGAAAAACTACCCTTCTGAGCCGAGCGGGTTGGCCCACGCCTATGATCTGAGTACTCGGGAGGCCGAGGCAGGAGGATGGCTACAAGTTGGAGGCCAGAGCAAGACTCTGTCTCAAAAAAAAGATTAATTACTAAGTAAATCTGCCAGTCAGGTCCCTTTGTTATTCCTCCCTGTCCCTGCCCACCACAATGCTGGATGAAATCCAAGGCCTCTCGCCCCTTGTTTCTGGGTCCGCAATATCATTCGGGCCCGGCAGGGACATGGTCTGCTCAAACCATTTCCTGTTCTCAGGGCTCCCAGGGGTATTTACAGTTTTAAATCAGAATTCATTAGCTCAGCTGTGTTGTTAATGGTAGAATTTCAGATAAGAATAAGGAAAGCCTTCAATAGGAAGATAATTAAAGACATGAAGGAGGGCCGGGGATTTAGCTCAGTGGCATCCCGCCTGCCTCGCAAGCACAGGGTCCTGAGTTTGATCTCCGGTACCACAAAAAATAAAGACACCAAAGAAAAATGACCCGGCTCTGAGAATCTGTCACTTGGGTGACCCCTACTATGTTCTTTCCATCTGTAGATTCTTCTGTTTCTTTAGGGTGTATTTGTTTTTTTTAAAAACACTGTCATAGCTTTTGCCTTTTCTTTTGTTTTTTTTGGTACCAGGGATCGAACTCAGGTCCTTGCACTTGTGCAGCAGGCAGCAAAACCACTGAACTAAATCCCCGGCCTGCTTTTGCCTTTTCTAAACACAGAAGAAAATAGATGTTCATTTTAGAACAGTTATAAAATAAATGTAACCGAAAAACAAATTCATCATCATTTATCAAGTAGTAACCACTGTTTGCATTTTGACTTTTTTTCCCTATGCAAATAGTCTTTTGGTTTTACTTATAAAGTTAGAATATCCACTTAGAATTTTCTGAAACACAACCATCTTTATTCTCCCACGTGGCAATCTCGTCAGCCTCTCCCGCTCTGGGCTGACAGCAGCATCCTTGTAACAGTCCCCTCGTGCAGCCGTAACCCCCGGCGTCCTCCAGCCAGGCTGTGGCCGGTTCTCCCCACACCGCTGGCTTCCTGTGCGCCCTTGATGCGCTGTGCAAGGTGGGTTTGAAGAGCTCGAACTGACTGGTCCTGACACTGTTAGGCTGCCCGAGCTACTGAGCTTGCCTGTACTGCACACACTGACCCATTCTCACCAGCTCCAGCAGCGTTAGGAAGATGGACACTTCTGCTTCCTCTGCAGTTCTGGGCCCTTCCTTATGAGAGTTGCTTTGTCACCATCGCTCCCATGATTTGCAGACTGGTTTTGATTATCTGGGGCTCTTAGTGTTTGGAGAGCTGTTTTAACACTCGCTGCCCCAGAGTGTCATGGGTGCATTGCCTTGACAAGCCTGTGCCCCGTCACTGTGTGCGTGGTTCTCTTTTCCTCCCCCTGAACCCTAAGCGTCACCACTGCCACCTAGCACATCGGTGTCCATCTTGCCTGTCACTCGCAGGGGATTCTGGGACCCGGCCAGCTCTTCCAGGCCCAGCAGGAGGTGCTGCATCGGACGGCCCCGCTGCTCCTGTCCTACTACCTCATCGAGTGGGGCACTCAGTGCTTGGCGACTGACGTTCCAGTTGACACACTGTAAGTCTCACTACCATGACTGCATTTAAAGAAAACCTGGCATTATTTTTTATTGTGTTGGTGAGGGGCAGTGCTGGAGATTGAACCCAGAACCTTAAAAAAAGTTTTTAAACATCATGCCATAAAATAATTCACCTTTTTAAAACTTTCATTGATTTTTCTTTGCTTCTTGTTTTATTTTTTGAGACAGGGTCTCGCTGTGTAGTTTGGGCTGGCCTTGCACTCCCAGTGATCCCCCTGCCTCAGCCTCCTGAGTGCTAGGATTACTAAAAGTTTCAAAGTAACTTATAAAAATGAAAATAATAAATATATACCTATTATTACACATGTACTGAAGGCAAAATAAGAGGAAAATAGAAAGGAAGTTAGATCGTACACAAACACATTGTGCTAGGCCAGGGATTTAACTCAGTGGTTCTGCTGCCTGCCTCGCAAGCACAAGGTCCTAAGTTCCTTCCCTGGTACCAAAACAAAAAAACAAAAAATATATTGTGCTAGTTTTTAAAAAGTAGGCCGAGAGCAAGTGTATTAGTACATCTGTAATCCCAGCACTCGGGAGGCTGAGGCAGGAGGATCACCACAAGTTCTAAGCCAGCCTGAGCTAATAGCAGGACCCTGTCTCAAGAAACCAAGAGTCGGGATTTAGCTCAGTGGTGCCGCCGCCTGCCTCGAAAGCACAAGGTCCCAAGTTCAATCCTTAGTACCAAAAAAAAACAAAAGCAAAACAGAAAGAGATGGAGCTTTTCCAGAAGGCGAGCTGTCCTGTCTGTTTGGCTCCTGATCTCGGGATCAGAGTGATGGCAGCAGTCTAGGTCCTGTTGTTCTGTAGGCTTTTGTTCTGTTTTGTTTGTGTGTTCAGTGGAGCCCATTCCCAAATTCACTTGACAGCGCTCTCATTAGGGGCCGAGGACGCACAGGTGAACATGTGACGCTCTCTTTCACTTCTCACAGGGAATCCAACCTGCAGCACTTGTCGGTGCTGGAGCTGACTGACTCTGGGGCTTTTGTGGCAAACCCGTTCGGTAAGGAGCAGCCTTGTACACCTTGGGCTTGGGGATGCGGCCTGCCATGTGCTCCCGCTGGCCCCAGGCTGGGAGCCATGGCCCGGGTCGCACCAGGCGTGGGCGAGGGTGCTGCACATGCCTGATGTGTGCCGCCTTCCTAAGTCCGTCCCACTGCGGGGCGTGTGGGGTCACGTGAGAGGCCTCTCAGGAGGCTGCGCCAAGCTCGAGGTGTCACTGCCATCCGAGTGCCTGGCTCCTGTTCCCATGCTCCTGCCTATGCTCCTGCTTTCCCCTCGTCTTAATGCTGTGGTGACGCCAGGCTTGGTGGCACACACCCATAGTCCCAGCTCAGGAGGCTGAGGCAGGGGTAAGGCCAGGTTGAATTAGAGAGCAAGACCCCGTCTCAAAATACAGTAATAACCCTTAAGAACCTGCTAACCGGATGTGGTGGCTCACGCCTGTCATCCCAGCACTCGGGAGGCTGAGGCAGGAGGATCCCCCTGAGTTCGAGGCCAGCCTGGGCTACATAGTGGGTTCAGGGACAGCCTGGATTACAAAGAAAGACCCTGCCTTTAAAAACAAAAACAAAAAAACAGAACCTACTGAGCCCTGGTTGCTTCTACTCTCACCCCGGCCCACAGACAGGGCGGCACCCCCCTCTCTCATGACAGCTGTTACTCTAGAGCACTCCCTCTGCGCTGTTCCTGCGTGACTCCTGGGACTTGCCATGTGGGAGGATCACCAGGGAGGCCCGGGTGTTGTGAGATCTGGGACGGGAAGCGACTGCAGCGTTGAGTGAGGGGCCTTCTCGCTGTGCCTGTGCAGCCCCTCGCAGTGTGCAAACCGCCACTGACAGTACCCGTGGCGCATTTCTTTGTTACGGGCGGGCATAAAGCGAGCGCATAAACTGCCTTGGTTGACAGCCGGTACACCACTGGTTGTCTTCACTTTGTCTTTTCAAGTATCCAGCCCACAGACAGTCGTGGAGTTATTCTTCCAAGAAGTTGCAAGAAAACACATTATTGCCCATCTCTTCTCTCAGCCAAAGGAACCACCGAGCCAGGCGGCACTGAACTGGCCGGAAATGGCTACCACAGTTACGAATTATTTATTGCAGCTTTTGTATCCTTTGCTGGAAAGCAATTGAAAGCTGTTTTCTATCTAGCCATCTAAGGGTCCTATTTTGCTTGGTGGCATCAAAAGGTTTTGTTCTGGTTTTGTGGGGAGTTGCAGTACCAAGGCTCAAACCCAGGGCCTGCCCCAAGCTCAGCACAGCCTGGGACAGAAATGCACTAGAAGTGCTTGTGTGCTCGGCTTTGATTACTCGCAGTGTCGGCCATCAAACAGGGTCCCATGCATGCGAGGCACACACTCTGCCACTGTTCACCCAGCCTAGAGCTCAGTTACTGCCGGAGCGGGTGGGGCTTGTGCGTGGACGGTCCTTTCCACTGCCCACTGGCAGGCCGTGGGGCCATGCAGTTGTTGGTGCCAGCGGACTCCCAGCACCTAGCACATAGAGCCACTCAGCAAACAGTGGCTACACGAATGTCTCTAGAAGACTCAGGTATGAAACGCGTGTGCACCAGCCAAAGGGTGTTCTTTCCTTCTGGCATTCGGGCAGCGAATCTAGGGCCTTGCACCTGTCAGGCACACACTCCGCCGTGGAGCTACTCCTGGCCTTTGTTGTTTTTTTGTTTTTCATTAAATGATTTCATGGCCTCTTGAGATTTGATACCCAATGTATGTATTTAAGTTTTGCCACCAGAAGCAGAAAGCTATCCTTATCCAGTGATAGGTGGCCCAGCAATCCCGGCTGTCTCTTCCTGGAGTGTCTGATGGGAAACTGTCAGTACGTGCAGTTGCAGGTGAGCTCTGCGTAACGCGTCAGAAAAGGTAGTGGCAGACTGGTTTTCTCTGTGAATATTAACTGCATTTTAATTGGGCTGTCTGTAAGAACCACTGCAGTTAAACTTGTGGCCAGATGTGGCAGTTTGCACCTGAACTCCCAGCACCTGGAGGGCTGAAGCAAAAGGATCATGCGTTCCAGGCCGGCCAGGGGTAACAGTGAGGCTCCTTCAGAAGCCAAGCTCGGTTGCACACAGACCTCAGCAAGATTTTCTCTGCTTCCTCCTCTCCCTCCCAACCCTCTGTCCCCAGGACTGAAAGTTGAATGGACCCAGGCATCCTCTTCACTGATCTACAACCCTTCTCACTTTATTTTGAAACAGTCTCGCTGAGTTCTCCAGACTGGCCTCAAACTTGCCATCCTCCTTGCCTCAGCCTCCGGAGGAGCCGGGATTGCAGACATGCAATACCAGGACTGGCTTCTTCTTCTTTCTTGATATTATCATTGCTAACATAATTTTTTCTAGAGTATCTTTTTTTTCTTAGTTGAGTTTTCTTTATACTAAAACAAATACTGTTGTCTTTATATAAATCCCTTACTGGGTCCTTAGTCATTGAACCAGTAAATAACTAAAAATTGGAAGATTGCTGAGATGTAAAGTATGTATATGTGTTACTGACTACTGTTTGTGTTTGCTTTTGTTGTTGTTGTTTGTTGTTCTTCTTATTATTATTATTGAGGAGCCTAGACTGGGCTCAAGCAATCATCTGCCTTGGCCTCCCAATTAGCTGGGACTAGAGGTGCGCACCACTGTGCCTGGCTGTGTTTGCTTTCTTGTGCTATCTAGCCTGCCATGAGGATGTATTAAGGGGGCTGGGGATGTAGCTCAGTGGTTTCGCCACCTGCTGCACAAGCACAAGGACCTGAGTTCGATCCCTGGTACCAAAAAGAAAAAAAGGATTGGGTTTTAATGTCCAGATTATTTTAGGAAGTAAAATTTCACCCAGCATTGGGAGGTTGAGGCAGGAAGATTGCAAGTTTGACACCACCCTGGGCACCATAGCAAAACCCTGTGTCAAAAACAGCAACGGCAGCTTCAGTGCGGATCCCACACTCCCTTCTCCCTCTGCATCCCCCATCGTGTCCCTCTCCTCATAGGAGGTGCTTGTGTCTTCCAGGACTATATCCACCTGCTGCACCCCTGGTGTCAAGTCAACGTGGGCTCCTGCCGCTTCATGCTGGGGCGCTGCTACCTCATCATGGGCGAGGAGCACAAGGCAAGCCGCACCGCCGGGCGCTGTCTTCCCGCAGGAGGACACTTCACTGCTTTCCGGGGTGGAGAGGGCGGGGGTGTCAGGCCTGGCTGCTTGTGCTGTGTGGTGGAGTTAGGGTGTGGGAGGTAAGAGGGAAACACGGAAACCCTCTTGCCCCCGCAGGTACCCCAGCACTCTAGGGGGCTGAGCCAGGAGGATCGTGAGTTCAGGCCTACCCTGGACAACTCAACAGCTCAGCAAGACCCTCTCTCAAAGCCAGAAAAATAAAGGGCCTGGGAACATAGCTCAGGGTGGAAGCCCTAGCTCAGTCTGCAGTACCACACAGGCACGCACGCACACAGCAATAAATAACAGCCCTGCACCCCAGTGCAGGTGTTTTTAGGGGGTGCATTTTTGTAAATCAGATGTATTAATGACATTGTTTTCATTGTATTTTTTGCTCTATGCAGTTTTTCTTTTTAGTATAATTGTTCACATTTTTTATTGTTCCTGTGGCTGTCTATTTTCTAAGCTTTTTTTTTTTCTTTTTGATACTGGGGATCAAACTTGGGTCCTTGCACTTGCGTAGCAGGCAGCGAAACCACTGAGCTAAATCCCTGGCCCTGTAAGCTTTTAAGTATGCAGAAGCTTCCAGAGTTTCAACAGTGAACAGTCACATACCTACCACCCAAATTCGACACCTGCTAACATGCAGCTGGAGGTGTTTTCTTACATATGTATCCACCAGTCTTTTATTTTTTCATTGATAGCATTTAGAAAAGAAATATAATTCAAGTCATATATCCAAATCTAAATTTGTTAGGGAATGAGTGTAGTAGCCCATCTTGAGTGATTGTGTTTCTGTTTTGACTTTGCTCAGCACATGCATTGCTCATGTGCATCACAGGAACTGAAATAAAGGCCAGGGATTTAGCTCAGTGGTGCCGCAGCCTGCCTCACAAGTGGAAGGTCCCAAGTTCGATTCCTGGTACCAAAAAGAAAAAGAAAAGAAAAGAAACAAGAACTGAAATAACCCCGCAGCTGCTCTGTGTCTTTCTTCCTCCAGGCCCTGGAGTGCTTCTGTCAGGCGGCATCGGAAGTGGGCAAGGAGGAGTTCTTAGACCGCTTGATCCGCTCCGAGGAGGGGGAGGTGGAGTCCAGCCCCAGGATGCAGTATTACGACAAGGTGGGCTGGGTGGTGTGGCCGCCACACCTGTGCAGAAAAGCACCGGAAATGCAGTGCAGCTATCCCTGCACTTCTCTGTGAAAAGAAAAGTGGACTTGCCTAGAGACTCCGTGAGCTTTGAACTGTTGATAAAATTCCTAACTGCATGCTGGTAACATGGATGTGTTACCTTGTGAACATTCAACCAGCTTGGTACTTCAATAAAAAGTAGAACCCAGCCAGGCGTGGGGCACACACCTACAATCCAAGCATTGGGAGGCTGAAGCAGGAGGATTGGAAGTTGGATTTTCCCAGAAGCAATTTAGCAAGACCGTATCTCAGAATAGAAAAGGGCTGAGGATGTAGCTCAGTGCTAAGGCGTGGGGTTCAATCCCCAGTAGTGGGGGGGATATATATATATATATGTATACACACCTGTTCACATTTAGGGGAGGGTGGATGCAGGTTAAATGGAACGGATAATCAAAAGTTCAAAGATCGGTGTTCACTAAAAATGGTCTTCAGGGTTTTCTAAGACTGGTGTTATTCACTGTGCTTCACATTCATCTGCAGCCTTTGTCCCTTACCGGAAATGCTTGGGGCCACAAATGATTTGCATTCTGGGCTTTTTTTGTACTTGCATACACTTTGTAAGATATCCTGGGGAGAGAACCCACGTCCATACCAGTTCCTTTGTTCCATAGACCACTGCGCCGCACACACCTGGCACACTTACCCTAAGTGCTGCGTCCAGGCTTCTGCCTCTCATGTGAGGTCAGATGTGGAGCTCTCCTTGCGCGGGAGCACACAGCACTCTGTTTCAGATTGGAGCATTTCAGATTTCCGATTTTTCACTAGGGATGTTCGACCTGCAGGGAAATTGTCTGTGTACCTTCAGTAAATCCTACTCGTGCATGGTGGCACACGCCTGTTACCCCAGTTCCTCGGGAGGCTGAGGCAGGAGGATAGCAAGTCTCAAAACTTAAAAGGGGTGCGGGCTGGTGATATAGCAGATCAGAGTGTGAGCCCTGGCTGGGTCCAGTCCCAAGAAGGAAGCAGGAAAAGTGTGCTGCGAGCAGCCATGCGCGGGATACTGGCATCAGGCCCTGGGAACAGGGCTGTGAACTCCAGGCTGCGCCCCACCTCCTGGTACTGCCATGTGGGCAGCACAGAGAAGAGACAGCACACATGGAACTGGTACTCTGAGCATACGACTGCCGCGCTGTGAGGGTGTCGGAAATCACACCATGGCCGGCTCTGCATGCCGAGGCCTGAGGCCAGGACTCCCACCGTGACACTGTCCTCCTGTACAGTGAATACCCAGAGTGGGAAGTCACAGTGTGAACCCTGCTTCTTACAGCCATGTCTTCAGGAGCTCACTTTGTCCCATTTGTCAAAGGTCAGAGCTGCGTATGGTGATGCCACTACGCCCAGTGCCCAAGAGGCTGAGGCAGAAGAACCTCTGCAGCCTGGGATTTGGGTGCAGCCTGAACAACATAGTGACACCCTGTGTTTTAAAGAGAAAAAGAGCCAGGCGTGGGGGTGCATACCTGTAATCTCAGAGCTCAGGAAGCTGAGGCAGGAGGATTGCTGCAAGTTTGAGGCCAGCCTGGAGCACATAGCAAGACAAAAACAAAGGAAGGAAAAGGACAGTCTAAAGCCCTACTATTCACTCATAGTTCTTGTAAGGGCTGAGTGTAGCTCAGGCTGAGCACTTGTCTCATGTGGGTGACGCCCTGGGCTCTAAAAATAAAAAAGTTGGTCAGTAGTAGTTTTTGTGCTGATCTGCGGAGGGCGTGTTAGGTTTATCTCTTCACTTCATCTGTATCTGTGTTAACCCTAACTCAGTCCATCCAAATTTATCCAACTGGAGAGCCTTTCCGCTTGTATTACTGGAAAGACAAGCAGGTCTCACAGCGAGTCTGTAACGAGAGGACTGAAGGGCAGATGGCCCCCTGCCCACCTCAGCAGCTCTGCTTCTTTGTGGTCCTGGGGCTAAACCTAGCCTCGCACGGTAATAAGTAGGGCACCACCGGGCCACACCCAGTACCCCCTGCTCAGTACCTTCGGCTTCATCCTACCTTACCCGGATCTCTCTAGTTAATTTGGAAACATCTTTCAGTTTGGAGCACCACCACTGTGTATTTTAACAGCGTTTGCTCTGTCTGCTTAGGTTCTGCGCCTGCTGGACATCGTCGGGCTGCCTGAGCTGGTCATCCAGTTGGCTACAGCAGCAATAACAGAAGCAGGTGACGACTGGAAAGGTCAGGTAAGAGCAAACTGCAGTTCCTGTGCTGGGCAGTTCTCTGTGGAGATGGTATTTTAGTTTCTCTTGCTCTCTTTTGCTATCTAGGCCACCTTAAGGACATGCATCTTCAAACATCACTTGGATCTGGGTCACAACAGCCAGGCGTATGAGGCCCTGACCCAGATTCCTGACTCCAGCAGGTGAGTTCAGGGTCTCTGGGGAAGGCAGTGCACCAGCTGCATCCCACCGTGACAGCGCCCTTTGTCCCTTGCCCACAGGCAGTTGGACTGCTTACGGCAGCTGGTGGTCGTCCTCTGTGAGCGCTCGCAGCTGCAGGACCTTGTGGAGTTTCCTTACGTGAACCTGCACAACGAGGTGGGTTCAGTCGGCCACCACCAGCCAGAGGCACCGCTTGTCCCCGGCACTGTGCTAACCTCAGCGTCCCCTCGCTTCCCCCTTTCAGGTGGTGGGCATAATTGAATCGCGGGCCAGAGCCGTGGACCTCACGACTCACAACTACTATGAGCTTCTCTACGCCTTCCACATCCACCGCCACAACTTCCGCAAAGGTGGGTTTTGAGCCAGGCGCCAGCCTGAGGCCTCCTCGTTACTATAATCATGCTTTACAAAAGTACCACGTACAGCTGGGCATGCAGTTCAGTGGCGCTGCACCTGCCTGCCAAGTGCAAGGTCCTGAGTTCGAGCCCCAGCACACCCCCAATACAGTGTGTTCAATTATGTTAACATACAAGATTAGCTTACTTCACCCTTTTGAAGCTTACATATTGGCTTTGAAAATATATACTCCCTCCTGTTCTAGACTATTCCGTCATTTCCAGTGAGGTGGTATTGCACGCAGTTCTTGACTGCTAGTAAAGGAAACCTTAGCTTTTTCACTAGAGAGACCTTGAACTCTCACAGCTAGTTTCAACTTCCTGTGTCATTTTTCACTTGGGCGCCTTCCACCCGTATTTCAGTTCCTGAAACAAATTTCTCAGTTTTCATCTGCTTTGCTCACCTGAATATCATAGTGTTCCTTGGTAGTGGCGGGTGTGTTGTCAATCCCTCGATCTTATGGAAAGCCTTAAAGAGAGGAGTATATTTGATATTTAGGGTTATCAATGATATCCCTATTTCCTAGTGAATTTCTTTTCAAGCTGTACTGCAGAGCTATACCCCAGCCTCTCAGTCTTTTCATTTAAAAGTTTTCAAGTGTACAGAAAAGCTAGGACAGTAGCACAGAGAACACCCTGTATTACACCCTTCACCAGTCATTAACGTTTTACCACCTCACCCCGTCTGTCTTCTCTCCTTCCTCTCTCACCTTTTGACCGTAAGTTATGAGCCGGGGATGTAGCTCAGCGGGGCAGCGTCTGCCTAGCAAGTGCGAGTCCCTAAGTTCGATTCCTGGTTCCGAGAAACAGTTGCACAAGCATGACTCTTACCACGTAAATACTTCACATGTCTCTCCTCAGAGCATTCTCTTATGCAACCGTGATATAATTATCAGTTTAAGGAAATGTGGGTACTTTAGTATTTAAAATTTATGCAGTGTTATTGTTATATGCTGTTCATATTCAGATTATGATAATTATAATAATATTTCTAGTTTTCATTTAGTTTTGAGACAGGGTCTCACTATGTAGCCCAGGCTGGACTTAAATTTACTGTGTAACCCAGGCTAGCCTCGAACTTGCGGTCTTCCTGCCTCAGCCTCCAGACTGCTGGGATTACAGTGCTCCTGGCCATAATGGTTTCTATAATGCATTCCTCCCCGCCTGTCCTCACCCCTGACCCAGGGTCATACATTTAGTTATTTAGCTATTATTTCTCTATAGACTCTTACTCGGGAGCATTTCTTTTAGCTTTACTTTGCCTTTGATGACGCTGGTATTTTTGAAGAGGATGTGGTAGTCCTCTTAAGATTGTTTTTTGTTTGTTTGCTCACTTGTTTGTTTGTTTGGCAATGCTGGGATTGAATCCAGGGCGTTCACCACTGAATTACACACCCAGCCCTTTTTTTTATTTTGTGTTTGGAGACAAGGTCTCACTAAGGTGCCCAGGCTAGACTAGAACTTGTGATCCTCCTTCCTCAGCCTCCTAAAGAGCTGAGATTTCAGGGATGTGTCACAACGCCTGGTAACGTTCAGGTCTTTAGAAACCAGGCTGTGCTTCTAACATGGTGTCTTACATATTTTGAAAGGAAAATACTGGCACTTTTTGTTTAGTTTTTAAATAGTCTTACTTAAAAACTGTTCTTTTTTTTTTTTCTTTTTGTTTCATTTTTGGTACTAGGGATTGAAATCAGGACCCTCACACTGAGCTACAATCCTCAGCCCTTTTTATTTATTTTAAGACAATTTTAATTTCATTAAATTCCCCACGTGGAACTTGAATTTGGGATCCTCCGGCCTCAAGCCTCTCAGCTTAAAAAAATTTTTAAGTGCTGTTTAGTTTTTGTGTCCCATGTTGTTCTAAAACAATGGATTTTGCAGGATTTCATCCAACCCTTGTAGCTAAAGTTTTATAAACATAAGAAGGTGAGCCAAGCATGGTGGCTCATGTCTGTAATCCTAGCACTCTGGAAGGCTATCAGGGGAGGATCACAAATTCAAGCCCCACCTGGACAGTTTAGTGACTTAATGAGGTCCTCTCTCAAAACTATAAGCTAAAAAGGGCTGGGGCCAGGCCTGCTGGTGTATTCCTGTAATCCCAGCACGCAGGAGGCTGAGGCAGGAGGATAGCCAAGAGTTTGAGCCCAGCCTGGGCTACATAGTAAGTTCAAGGCCAGCGTGAGCTACACAGTGAGACCCTGTCTCAAAAACACAAATAAATAAATAATAAATAAATAAAAATGGGCTGGGGTGTAGCTCAGTGTAAGGGCCCTGGTTTAATCCCTAATACCACACAGTAAATGAATGTCCTTGTCCTCAGTTCTTTTTGGTATACACCCAGAAGCAGGATTGCTGTAGCCTGCAATAGTTCTGTTTAATTCCTGAGGACCTGCCATGTTGCTTTCCTCGGCACCTGGACCCTTCATGCTTCTAGCAGTAGCACACAAGAGTTGCCATGTCTCCACATCATCACCAACACATGATCTTTTCTTTTTTTTTTTTAAAACCTGGTCTTCCTAGGTTTCTAAATCTTCCAGGCTAGGCTCAAACTTGGAATCATCCTGCCTCAGCCTCCTAGAATGCTGGGATTACAAGTGTGTACTCTCACACCCGTCTCCCACACATGATGTCTTTTCTGTAGCTCTAAGTAAATTCAACTTAGTCTTTTAAATTTTTTGTTTTGTTTTGTTTCGTTTTTTGGTACCGGGGATCGAACTTGAGACCTTGAGTTTGCAAAGAAGGCAGCGGAACCACTGAGCTAAATCCCCAGCCCTAGTCTTTTAATATTTGATGGGTGTAACTAGTTCTCGGTCTCTCCAAAGAGAACATTTTTTAATTCTCCTTCATTCCTGCCCCACAGCTGGCACGGTGATGTTTGAGTACGGAACCCGACTGGGCAGAGAGGTCCGAACGCTGCGGGGACTCGAGAAGCAGGGCAGCTGCTACCTGGCCGCCCTCAACTGCCTGCGCCTCATCCGCCCAGAGTACGCGTGGATCGTGCGGCCAGCTGCGGGCGCAGTGGTACGGAGCTGTGGATTCGGGTTGGGTTCGCTTCATCTCTGCTTTTCCCTCCTTATCGCTTTGTTTTATTTCAGATTTCTCCTGAGGAGTATGGTAACTACTTCTTTTGCAGCAGGTCACAGCACAGGTCACTGTTCCTTAACTCCCAAGTTCAGGCTCTTGGTGGAAGAACGTCAGCCAGGGTGGTTTCAGGTTAGAGAGCCTGGCTTCAGACAAGCTCCCGAATCTCTGCAGTTCCATTCTCCTCTGGTGTAGAGTAGGCTGGACAGCATCGGCCATATGGAACATTGTCTGGGGCTGGAAGACGATAATATGAGTACATTGCTTAGAACAGGGACAGCAGCAGCCAGACATGGAGGTGCATGCCTGGTATCCCAGCACTCAGGAGGCCGAGGCAGGAGGATCGCTGCAGGTTTGAGGCCAGCCTGGGATACCTAGTGAGTTCAAGGCCCGCTTAGACTACATACTGAGACCCTGTCTCAAAAATAAACAAAAAAGGGCCGGGGATTTAGCTCACTGGTTCTACCCCCTGCTTCACAAGCGCAAGGACCTGAGTTCAATCCCCAGTACCAAAAAAAAGGAAAAATAAACGAAAAAGAATAATGATGTGTCTGGCCTACAGAAAGTCCTTAATGAGTGCTTGCCACTTTTATTTTGATCAATTCTTTTTTTTTGGTACCGGGGATCGAACTCGGGTCCTTGCACTTGCGAGGCAGGCGGCAAAACTACTGAGCTAAATCCCCAGCCCTCAATCATATTCTTAATTCAGCGACGGTTACTGAATTAAAAGACACACGCTTGGAGTTTCCTGCTGTGCTGACTGGTCACCAGTGCCCAGCTCCTTGGTTAGTGTAGTTCCTGCATTTGCCAGGCTGTTACCCAGGTTACCAGTGGGGACTAGGACTCTGTAACCAAGGAAAATCACCTGATTTATATGGAGGGGAGGGCCAGGGATTTGGCTCAACGGTACCACGCCTGCCTTGCAAGCACAAGATCCTAAGTTCAATCCCTGATGCCAAAAAAAAAAAAAAAAGGATATAAATATATGGAGGACAAATCCAGGGCCCTGGACTCAGGAACACATTAAATAACCAACTTGGCAAAACACTCCACTTCTTTGTCTGATAGTTCCAGTACCTCTAAGAATTGCTGTGCTGGCTAAAATAAAAATAATTTTTACTGAAGCCAGGCCTGGTGGCACACACCTGTAATTCCAGCACTCTGGGAGGCAAAGGCAGGAGGATTACAAGTTCCAGCCCAGCCTGGGCAACTCAGGGACTTAGTGAGACCCTGATCCAAGATAAAAAATAGAATGGGCCGGGAATGTAGCTCATTGCATAGGCCCTGGGTTCAGTCCCCAGTACTGCAAAAATAAAAATAATTCCTACTGAGAGAACTTACGCATGAAAGCTTCAATTCAGTTAATAATATCTAACTAAAAACACTAATTTTCACAGGTAAATCTCTTTTGTCTTCCAGTATGATCGTCCTGGAACATCCCCCAAGAGGAATCATGATGGCGAGTGCACGGCCACCCCAGGTGAGTGGGGCCTCACACCGGTCTGGCTGGTGAGTGGCTCTGTTATATTGGAGGAGACCTAGATGAAGGTGTATACCTTATATTATAATGCTTGTTACATCATCATTACAATGTTGTTATGTGTCATATTATACACGGTACAGGCCTTTTAAAAGGCAGTGAAATTCCTTTAGTTTATTTTCAACGTTCTAATCTGCTAAAAGCCTGGAGCACTTTGACAGTGCTGTATGATGATGAGAGTGATGAAGACACGTACACAACGAGAGTGGGGTATTTTTGGTGCCTGTTGCATTTGAATCAGCCCAGCAGCAAACCTTTCGCCATAGGTTCCTTGATGTTACATCGAGACATGACAACACTCTTGTTTTGTTTTTGTTTTTGTTTTTGGTACTGGTTTTCGAACTCAGGACCTTGCACTTACGAGGCAGGCAGTGGAACCACTGAGCTAAATCCCCGGCCCCCCTTAATTACTTTCTTGTTGTTAGGACAAAATACCCGACAACCACAAGTTGGAGGAGGAGCATTTTATTTTGTCTCGGAGTTTGTAGAGGTTTCAGTCCGTAGTCAGCTGGCTCCGAGGCAGGGCGGAATGGCAGAGGGGCCTGGAGGAGGAGAAACAGTCCATGGCAGGGCAGGCAGGAAGCAGCCTTCCTTCTTCTTTCCCTTTTAATTCCAACCAGGCTACAAGCCTGTGGTTGGTGGCACCCATAACCAGGGTGGGTCTTCTGGCTTCAGTAAGTCCATCATCCACACCAGAACCTTGCTAAACCATCAGTGGACTGACCCAGTACCAGAACCCATGATCCAGTCATGCCCAAAGTCCCATCCAAGAGTCCATGAGGCTAGGGGTACATCTCAGTATGTGCTGAGGTGTGGATGGGACACACCTGCTTTCATACTGCTTCTTTCCCGGGGCATGTGCGCTTCCTGGTGGAGATGGCATAGTCGTAGTGGCAGAGTCCAGGAGTGGGACCTGTCTGTGCCCGAGAAGCCCTGGCCTCACTGCCACTGCCAATGAGGCAGGAGTTGTCTGACTCGGCCATGTGGATGAGTTTCTTAACTTAGCTTTTTCCAAGCCCCCTCTCCTTCCTTCCTTTCTGCCTTGGAACAGCAGTGTTCTGTGGAACTGACAGCTTAGGTTCAGCTGGTCACTGCCCAAGTGTGGGGATTGAGTCTTTTCCTTCGGCCCCAGCCGCTCGGCAGGTGGAGATCCTGGAGCTGGCAGACCTGGAGAAGGAGTGCTCCCTGGCCCACATTCGGCTCGTGCTGGCTCGCCACGACCCGGCAGCAGTTGCAGTTGCAGGTAGGACCCCATCATGGTGCCCCCGGCCGGAAAACACTTGCTGGGTGTGAAGTGCGAGTCCCTGGCTTCGGCCTCAGGCCTGCTTCCTGTGCCCCATGCACTAACACTGGAGCACTAAAGCTGGCTCCCGCTCGCACAGGAAGCTCATCGGCGGAGGAGATGGTCACTCTCCTGGTGCAGGCCGGCCTCTTCGACACCGCCATCTCACTCTGCCAGGCCTTCAGGCTGCCCTTGACGCCAGTCTTCGAGGGGCTTACTTTCAAGTATGTGCAGTGACCTTTTCACACATTCACACGGGATGTCACCTTTCCACTCCTGTGAGGTGACGATCGCGCTCCAGTGGCCTACAAGCCACGTGCAGTTTAGAGAGGAGTTTTACTCAGTCCGTGCAGCAAGTCCTTGTGAGGCTCAAGGAGAAGGAGGAGCCAGCACTCCGCTGTGGATCCAGCTGCAGCCTCAAGCTAGTCACCGTCCGGTCCCGTCCCATCCCTCTAGTTCTGCTAGGAGAGTACAGCGGAGCCTGCGCAGCGCTCACAGGCGCCCTCTCCCTGCAGGTGCATCCGGCTGCAGCTGGCCGGGGACAACGCACAGGCTGAGGCCTGGGCCTGGCTGGCGGCCAACCAGCTGTCCTCCGTGGTCACCACAAAGGAGTCCAGGTAGGGCCCTGCTTCCCCCCGGGCCCGTGTCAGGGCGCAGCTCCCTTTCTCTGATCCCACTGTTCTGCACACATGGTTGCACTTTTCTCTTTCTTCCCTTTTTGGCTGAGTTTTGATAAAAGCAGGAGACTTTCCAATCAGGTTAACATTCAAACTAGGATGTCTTTGCCTATGAAATGTCTCTTCCACATCCCCTTTCTCAAAACTTAGTGTATTATGTTCTCAAGAAGTACTTTTGGGCTGGAGATTTAGCTTAGGGGTACCTCACCTGCCTCACAAAGTGCAAGGTCCTGAGTTCAGTCCCCAGTACCAAAAAAAAAAGAAACTACTTTTATCCCAGCACTTAAGAGGCTGAGGCAGGAGGATCACAAGTTTGAGTCCTACCTGGGCAACTTAGCAGCAAGACACAATCTCAAAATAAAAAATAAGAAGGGTTGGGACGTCACTCAGTGGTAGAGCTGCCCTAGGTTCTATCCCCAGGACTACAGAGAAAGAAAGGGAGAAAGTGCTCTTCGCTGGGTGTAGTGGCCCACGCCAGTAGTCCTCACTACTCGAGACTGAGGGGGGAGGGTCCCTTGAGCTCAACAGTTCAGAACCAACCTGGGCAGCTGGGCGTGGTGACATACGCCTGCCATCCCAGCCAGCCTAGGCCACATATCAAGGTCAGGGCCGGCCTGAACTGTAGAGCAAGACCCTGTCTAAATCCAGGAGTAAACAAACGAACAGCTTGAAACATTTCCTGCCACTCGATTCTCAGTCAGGGCATCTGCAGAATTCAGGGACCAGCGATCTAAGCTGCTCTCTTTTTTCTTTTTTTTTTTTTTTAAAGAAATCCTGAATAAACAGATCATATGGTACATCCACTTGCTCTGGTTTCTAGTACTGTCCCAAGGCACCCGGCCCCGCTCAGGGGTCTCCACTCCACTGTTAACGATTCACTTGCTTCTTCCTGGGCTAGGGATGCAGCCAGCGCAAAGACCCTGGGTTCAGCCCCAGTCCCACCTGGGAAACTGAAGCGCATATGTTCTTTTCGCTTTTCCTCAAGCGCTACAGATGAAGCGTGGCGACTGCTGTCCACGTACCTAGAAAGGTACAAGATGCAGAATAACCTGTACCACCAGTGTGTGATCAACAAGCTCTTGTCACACGGCGTGCCCCTGCCTAACTGGCTCATCAACAGTTACAAGGTATGTGCTGTCTTCACCTCACTGAAGAGGTGAGGAGCCTCCCTACTGTAACCATTGTAAATGATTTAGGGAAGCCAGGCACAGTGGCACACACCTGTAATCCCAGCGCTCTGGGAGGCTGAGGCAGGAGGGGTACAGGTTAGAGCCCACCCCAGGCAACTTAGTGAGACCCTGCCTCAAAATGTTTTTAAAAAGGGGCCGGGGATTTTGGTACCAAAAAAAAAGAAATGGGGCAGGGGGCGTGGGGATGTGGCTCAGTGCAATTCCCGTACCACCAAAAATAAGTAAATAATGAGATTATTAAAAAGCAAAAGGTGGGATGATAATTTATGGGGCCACACCGACATTTCAGGCAGCTTCTCAATCGCAGCTGAAATCACCGAGAACAATGTAACTTCACTGCTACACGGGCCCCTGGGCATTGAAAGTTCTGAAGGTTGGCAGCTGGGTTACTTTATTACCTGCTGTGTGCTCAGGAAGGATGAATTTCTGTGTAGAATAATGAGCATGCCCAGGGCGTGTTATCTCCTTCCTTACTCCAGATTTTTTTTTTTTTTTTTTTTGGTATGGGGGATCAAACTCTGGTCCTTTCGCTTGCGAGGCAGGCGGCAGAACCACTGAGCTAAATCCCTAGCCTGGGAGCTGTTTTCTAATCTGACACAGTGTTTCTCTAAATCAGTGCTATCAAAACTGAATTCGTGCCGGGGATTTAGCTCAGTGGTTCTGCTGCCTGCCTCAAAAGCACAAGGTCCTGAGTCCAATCCCTGGTACCAAAAAAAAAAAAAAACTGAGTTCATAGGTGTGGTGGTGCATGCCTGTAATCCCAGCACTTGAGAGGCTGACGCAGGAGAATCACCATGAGTTCGAGGTCAGCCTGGCTGCATAGTGAGACCCTGTCTCAAAAAGAGAAAAAACCTGAGTTCATGGATCACGTGTTAGTGTGGTTTTTATTGCCATGAGAATTCCTGAGGCTGGCTGACATTAGCAGCCTTATCAGCGCACCATTTTAGAAGCCGAGAGTCCAGGAGCTGCTGGCCCTGTCCCCTTGGCCTCCGGTGAGGCCCTCTGTGTGTGCCAGATGGAGGCCAGCGGGCATTCAGGGCTGAGACCCCTTCCGGCGTGCACGCTCTTACTCCTGAGGGCAGCATGATTCTCCTTGGGCTGGGAGCCTGGGGACCTCACACCACACAGGCCCGCCCCTCCCAGCATCAGCCACGTTAGGGCCAAGCCTCCCCAGCTCCTGACCTCAGGGTGCAAACTATATCCCAATACAGCCAATCACCTGCATCTGAATAGTGCGTGCTGGACGTCTTTAAAATAGACTCTGCAGCCGGGCATGGTGGCGCACGCCTGCCATCCCAGCACTCAGCAGGCTGAGGCAGGAGGATGGCTGTGAGTTTGAGGCCAGCCTGGGCTACATAGTGAGTTCAAGGCCACCATGAACTACATAGCAAGACCCTGTCTCAACAAAACAAAAAATAAAATTAAAATAAAATAAAATAGACACTATCATCCCAGCACACCAGAGGCTAAGGTAGGAGGATTCCCGTGAGTTGCAGGCCAGCCAAGGGACTACATAGTGAGACCTACCTGTCTCAAAATCCCCACACCACCAAAATATGTATATGTACAAGGATGTGTCCTGGGTCCCATCCCAGACTTAGCAAGTCATCCAGGTGAGAAGCAGGGCCCTTCTGCCCCGTGGGAGGAAGGCCCGTATGGCACTGCTGCTTCTCGCACATTCTCCAAACTGTCCATCTCTGTGGCTGGGAGCTGACGTGAACATGTGTCACTCAGCTCCCGCCCGCCAGGGAGACCTGCTGGCTTCCCAAGCTTCCATCCCGGGGTGGGCAGGCACTGAGCAGACAGCCTCCCGGGCCAGGTGGCAGACCAGCCCCTGAGGTACCCTCAGGTGGGGGCGGGTGAGGGCCAGGCCAGGCCAGGCCAGGAGCACAGGGCACAGCTCCAACCCTGGCTTCTTACAGAAAGTCGATGCCGCTGAGCTGCTCCGTCTGTACCTGAAGTATGACCTGTTGGAAGAGGCCGTGGACCTGGTCTCCGAATATGTGGATGCCGTGCTAGGGAAAGGACACCAGTACTTCGGAATCGAGGTGGGCGCACGGAGGTGTCCTGACGCCTGTGTCACCGCGCTCGGGAACGTGAGGCTCTGAAAGCAGACTGCGTGTGCACTGTGGGCTTCAAGCTTCGCCAGTTGTGACACAACCAAATACTGGCACTGCAGGATCTAAACAAAGTGGGAAGAGGGTTCCTCTTCCTCCATCAAAACTGGTTTGAGCTGGGCATGGTGGCGCACTTGGGAGCCTGAGGGAGGGGGATAGCTGAGAGTTTGAGACCACCCTGGGCTACCTAGTGAGACCTTGTCTCAAAATGAATGAGTGAACTTAGCGAAGCCATGTGTGGTGACACGAGCTCTAATCCCAACACGCCAGGAGCCTGAGGCAGGAGGATTGTAAGCTTGCGTCCCTTCAGGACACCTGTGGGAAGCCTAGGTTAGTGCAAAAGCCCTGGGTTCAGTTCCAGGTACCTGATAGGTTGATTGGCTGATAGGTTGATTAGATAAGATCGACCGCAGTGATTGAACTGAGAAAGGACAGGTTCCCCAGCTGAGAAGAGAAGGATGCGCACACATGCAGGCAGGCATTTCTTCCTTGTGGGGAGCGGGCTGGCCGTGGTGGTGCGCTCCTAAGCCCTATAATCCCAGCACTGAAAGAGGCCAAGGCAGGAGGATCCAAGTTTGAGTCCTGCCGGCCAGTTTAGCGAGACCCTGTCTCCAAAAGGCTGGAGATGTAGATGGTGATCGAGCTGTCCTAGGTTTGATCCCAGCACCGCATTGTACAGAGAGTCCTGTGAGAACAACGCCCCAGGAGAAAGGGTGCACTCTGGGGTTCCTTTGAACACCGGACGTTTTCCCCCCAGTTCCCCCTGTCGGCGACGGCCCCAATGGTGTGGCTCCCGTACTCCTCCATTGACCAGCTGCTCCAGGCCCTGGGCGAGAACAGCGCCAACAGCCACAACCTGGCGGTGAGTGGGCTCTGGCCTGTCTGCTACGAGTTCACACAGACCCAGTGCACTGGGCCTGACGTGGGCATCACAGGACAGCGCCTCCTGAAGCCTTAGCCTGGAGCACCCCAGGCCACGTGCACTGGGGACAAGATGGAGTCTGCTATGCTCACAGCCTGCTCCTGTTCCAGCGGGCAAGCAGGAGACCCATGACCCAGCCCTCAGACGCCCGAAGGCCGTGTAGGGAGGACCCATGTCCCCTTCCAGCTGGCTTTCAAGCACCTCCAGGAATAGTCTGGCTGGGCTGGGCGTGGTGGTGCACAATTGTATCCCAGCACTTGGGAGGCTGAGGCAGGAGGATCTCTTCAAGTTCAGGGCCAGCTTGGACTACATAGCAAGACCCTCTCTCAAAAAAAACGGGCCGGGGATTTAGCTCAGTGGTTCTGCCACCTGCCTCGAAAGTGCAAGGTCCCCAGTTCAATCCCTGGTACCAAAAAAACAAACAAACACTGATTCAGAGTGTTAGCTCTGTTTTTTTCTATGCTTTTTTTCTTTTTGTGGTGCCAGGGATGGAATCCAGGGCCTCACCATTGCTAGGCTGAGCTACATCCTATCCCCAGCCCTGTTTCTCCTCTTGAATGGTTTTTCAAAGTGTTAGGCAGGAGAAACCTGGTGTGATGGCACATGCCTGTAATCCCAACACTGGGAGGCTGAGGCAGGGGGATCCCACCCTGGCCGGGGTGAATTACTGACTTAGCAAGACCCTATCTGTAAATAAAAAAGGGTTCTGGATTAGGGCAGTGTGAAGGCCCTGGGGTCAATCCCCAGTACCAGGGGTGGGGGTGATGTGTATAAGGATTAAAAGCACTGTGTGTAGCAGGGAAGTGCAGCGATTCGAGTAGAGTACAGAGCGGTGAGTGGGTGGCGTCTCGGTTAGGTGATGTCCAGCAGGCAAAGTGACAGTGACAGGTGGCACTGGTCTTTCTTCAGTCCCCAGCTGGCGGTAACGATTTCCTTCTTTTCCCTATAGCTGTCTCAGAAAATCCTTGACAAACTAGAGGACTACCAGCAAAAAGTTGATAAGGCCACTCGGGATCTGCTCTTCCGGCTGAACCTGTGATCGCAGTGTCCCCAGCACTCTCGGGCCGTGCTGCAGGCGGCTTGGTGGCCAGGGGCACAGCCCACTGCCCTGGTGGGGTCTCCCGCTGGGGAGGGAGGGGAGCCGGGTTCGTGCAGGTGCTAACTGCCTCGATCTCGGCTGCTTTTGCGCTGTGCAGGAGTCACAGCTTTTTGGAGTTTCTACTTTTGTAAACTATGGAAGACACTGTTTACCTGCAGGTTAAACCCTCCCTCCCTTGCCGAGCGGCTGCAGTGTCAGCTTGTCCTCACCAACCTCGCACCGAGATCAGTCACGCAGACCTCTGACTGCCATACGTTTTCTGTGCCAATGGGACTATTGTGGTCCAGAACCAACAAGTATTTTCTGTATCGAAAACAGAGGCCAATGATTTTGTGTACTCTTTTCCTTATTTATTGTGAAGTTTTTATATGATCTTCAATAAAGTACTAATTTGCCTAGAGTAAATGATGAGGATCTGTTTAAAGGAGAATCATATTTTGAATCCAGCATTTGAGGCAAAAAGTTAAGTAAACTTTTAGCTAAGGAAGAATCGGAAACCCATTTACAAAAGCAGCAGACTTGCAAAGTAAATTCTGCTAACTTCTGAGATTTATAATAATCAAGCTGGATTTGATCAGACTGCTAGTCTAATAATGTTGAATACAGAACCAAAATATAAACTTCACTGGATAGATTCAGTAAAATTTGGGAGAAAGCAAAAAAAATAATAAAAGCCTGGATTTTGTTCTGTATATTAAAATCTATCTTTCAAGGAAATGGTCTGGATACTACTTGCGTGAGTGCCCTTTGACTCCTCTTGAGTTTTTGGTTAGCCTTGAACTTTTATACTTTTTTTTTTTGGTACTGGGGATCGAACTCAGTTCCTTGAGCTTGCAAGGCAGGCACTGGAACCACTGAGCTAAATCCCTGGCCTGAATTTTTATACTTTCAATACCATGTTTATGTTGTTTTGTTTTGAGACAGGGTCTCACTCTGTAGCCCAGGCTGATCTCAAACACACCTCGATCCCCCTACCTCAGCTTCCCAAGTGCTGGGATTACAAGTGTGTGCCACCGTGCCCAGCACATTGTATACTTTTTTTTTTTTGTATACTTTTAATAATATGAGTTTTGCGATAGTACTGTTGATGGAAGATATTGAAGTGTATGGTTATTTTTAATATTGTTTTGTTTTTGTTTTCTGGAGACAAGGTCTTCCCGTGTAGCCCAGCTTGGGCTCAAACTCCTGATCCTCCTGCCTCAGCTTCCCAAGTGCTGAGGTCTCAGGTGTACACCAGCATCCCTGGCAATTTCATAGTCCTGAAAAAATTCAATAGAATGTCATGCATGTTGGTGCACATCTGTAATCCCAGCACTTGGGAGGCTAAAGCAAGAGGATCCAGAAGATTGTGAGGCCAGCCTGGGCTACAAAGTGAGACCTAGGGCTGGGGATTTAGCTCAGTGGTTTCGCTGCCTGCTGTGCAAGTGCAAGGACCCGAGTTCAATCCCTGGTACCAAAAAAATAAAATAAAAAGTGAGACCTTGTCTCAAAAAAAAAAAAAAAGCGTGTTCTGATAGAGCTAAAGCCTAAAAGGAGCAGAAACCCCAAAAAGCAGACGGCTTTCTCCAGACACTTGCCTTGTAAGCATTGCCACACAGGACACCTCCTCATCCTGCAGCTCACACACTTGCTTGGTAGCTGGGCTGTGACAGCCCTCAGACCACCCTGCAGCCATGCACTGCTTACCTTAGGTCAGTGCCCTGGACTTAGCATGGGTGACTCCATTTTGATTTGGTCACTAGGCCAGTGTCACAGCTCTGCCCAAACCAGTGGGCTCCATAGAAATTTCCAGAGCTGGGGATTGGACTCTTAGAAATCTTAACAGAAGAAAAGCTCTGAACCTGCCTGTGATTCCCAGCACTGCACATCAAAACAAAAGCAAAACAGCTACAAGTCTACTCCAGTGCTGACCACCTCCCTTGTTAATTCACAGCATGTTGTAGATTACTCACATTCCTCTCACTAAAGAAAGAATGTAAACGGGGTTTATTCTTAAATAGCAATTGGAGGCCAGTCATGGTGGCCCACCCCTGTAATCCCAGCATTTTGGGAGGCTGAGGTGGGAGGATTGCCTGCAAATTTGAGGCCAGCCTGGACTACATAGTGAGACTGTCTGTAAAAAAAATATTTTAAAAGGGCTGGGGGAGAGAGAAATAGAAGAGGAAGAGATAAGCAAGGCTGGAGGACAAAGGAAGATTATGCAAACTTTGGGAAACTGGTGAAGAGAGGAGGGAAAGGAAAGGACGAAATGACAGAACAAGAAAACTAGAAATTGTTCACACTCATATTAAAACCAAAAAAAAAAAAACAAAAAAAAATGTCCAAGGCACATCTCTGCTGTCACTGGTAGACAACCTGGGCAGACAAGAGTCCAGATCTGTGTTAAATCCCAGCAAGCCAGCTGTAGATTTACAGTAGGGTAGTGGATAATCCCAGCAAGCCTGGACCTAGTTCCACTGATGTTCAGGCTAGTTTCTGGCTGTGAGGCTGGAACCCAATTTGTTCAACCAGCAACAGTCCAGTCCATGTGCCTCCTGCTGGTTAGAACTCCTTGAGCTCCTGCTGACTTGAACTTGGCAGCCTCATTGTGACACTGGGAGCCACTAGACGGAGCCAGCCCATAGCTGCTCTGAGTTCTGAGCTCAGTTGGCCGTCTCCAAGATGGCTACTTGCCAATCACCCTCTCCTGGGGGGCATCTGAACCTGAATAACTCACCAGCCACTGCAGTTTACTCCAGTCCACTGCATCCACTCCTGTGTTCCACTGGTGCATCTCTCTGTGAGGCCTCGGGTCACCAGAAGTCACTATAGGTCTGCAGGTTCAAGTTGCCTTTCCCAAGCAGTGAGTCAGGGCTCAGGGAGAAAGTGCGCTTGCTGCCTCCTTTGTTGAAGTCTCTCTCTGCTCTCCCTGTGGGCTTCAATTCTCACTTCAGATCCTGGGTCCCGGGGATCCACTTCCCTCCTCTCCCTCACATTACTATATTCCAATGTCTGGACACCAGATCTCAGAGAGGCTCTTTCTCTGATGCTCACCACTCTGCCATCTTCCCAGAAGTCTCAGCTTTTGAAATGAATAACAAATATTAAGAAAAGACTTACCAGTAAACTATGAGCGTGACTACATTTGAAAATACACATGTATTCATATGATGGTGTTTCCCAGCTTTCCCTTGTCAAATGTCAGCCCTGAGACTTTGGTTTTGCTGGAAGTGTCCTCAGGAGAGCCAAACAAAACAACACCCCTCAGAGCCCTGCACGGCAGGATTCACCCCTGTAATCCCCGAACTCTGAGAGGCTAAGGCAGGAGGATCACAGGTTTAAATCTGGACAGGCAATTTAGCAATTTAGACCCACTCAGCAAATAAAAAAAGGATGTGGGGCCAGGGATTTAGCTCAGTGGTTCTCCACCTGCCTCGCAAGTACAAGGTCCCGAGTTCAATCCCCAGTACCAAAAAAAAATAAAAGGATGTGGTTCAGTGTGAAGGCCCTGAGTTCAATCCCCAGAACCACCAAAAGGCAACAAAAATAAAAACCCTTGGGCCAGGGACTTAGCTCAGTGGTTCCAGCACCTGCCTCATAAGCGCAAGGTTCAGAGTTCGATCCCCAGAACCGAAAAAAAAACAAAAAACGATACAATCATTTGCTGGGGATTTAGCTCAGTGGTTCTGCCACCTGCCTTGCAAATACAAGGTCCCAAGTTCAATCCCCAGTACCGGAAAAAAAAAAAAACCCTCAGTAATTCCTGAGTTGTTAGGCTCCTGGAAGTAAGGGACCATGCCGTATTCTTCTCCCAGTTTCTCAAAGTAAGGAATTTTAGCCATCTTTCCCCATTTGGAACCTAGATATAAACAAAGTCTGTAAAGAACCAGACAACAAACAGTTTAGACTTTGTACTTCCTTCATGGGCTCTGTCACTTTTTTTTGTTTTGTTTCTTAACCACCCTTTTAAAATGTAAAGATCATGGGGCTGGAGATGTAGCTCATTGGCACCACACCTGCCTTGCAAACACCAAGGTCCTGAGTTCAATCCCCAAGGCCAGAAGGAAGAAAAAAAAAAAGTAAAGATCAGCCAGGCTTGGTGATGCACACCTGTAGTCACAACACTGAGAGACTGAGGCAGGAGGATCTCTGTGAGTTTGAAGCAAGCCTGGGCTACAGTGAGTTCAAGGCCCCATCTGAAAAAAAAAATTTTTTTTTAAACAAGTTCTAGGCTAGCCTAAGCAATTTAGTGATTTCAAGATTACAGGCACATGCTCAGCACTAAACAGCTTTTTAAAAAATTAACTGATACAGGCCTTGTACACCACTCCCAACCCCCTCCTGAGATTCTCTTGTTTCCTATGCTCCAATGGTTCTGTGAAGTAGCCAGGGTTGGCAACCGTCCTTTTAACTGTTACCTCTGGAATGTATGCCTCCCCTAGGTCGGTGGTGAACCTGTGGCACGCATGCCGCAGCCAACTGTTTATTATCGTTGAAAGCGCTAAAAGGTTCGCCATCACTGCCCTAGGTCCTAGGGCCTAGGAAAGCAGCTTGTGTGTTTAAATCTGGCTCCAGCCTGTTTTACAACAGTACCTGAACTGTGTAGATGAAAGGCTAGCTACCCAGCGTGGTAGGCACGACTGTAATCCCAGTGCTTTGGGAGGCTGAGGCAGGAGGATCACAGATTCCAGGCCAACCTAGGCAAGTTAGCAAGACCCTGTCTCAAAATAAAAAATAAAAATGAAAAAGGCTGTGGATGGAGCTCAGTGTGAAGGCCTTGGGTTCAATCCTCTGTACAGAAAAACAAAGAAATAAATGGTCAAATAAAAAATGACTCATTTATGGTAATAATAGCTACCACTGCTTATTCCAGGTTCAGCGTTGAGCTTACAACAGTGGTCTCATTTAATCCTCACAGGAACCCCCATGGATACTGTTACCAATGCTTTCCAGATGCCTTGGTTTGGCTTCGGAATTCCTATAGTCGGTTATCATAGTTTGCTCTTATTTTTCTGTGCATGCGTGTGTGTGTGTGTGTGTGTGTGTGTGTGTGTGTGTGTTGAACTGGGGATGAACCCAGGGTGTGATACATCCTCAGCGTTTTTATTTTTTTAAATTTATTTATTTTTTGGTACCAGAGATCCAACTCAGGACCTTGAGTTTGTGAGGCAATTGCCGGCACCACTGAGCTAAATCCCCAGCCCAGCCCTTTTTATTTTTGAGACCATCTTGACACGATGCCCAGGTGGTCTCAAGTTTACTCTCTTCCTGCCTCAGCCTACCCAAGTGCTGGAATTACCAGAGTGCACCACCACGCCTGGCCATATTTTACTGTCTCTTTCCTCAAGAAATAAAAATAAAATTGATAACAGCTTCAAAATGGTAAATTCTCTCCTGCTGTTGGCTAGTAAATTTTCAGAAATCTTGGGCATCTACAATCTCAGGACGCCATAAAAACCCAGATACTCTCTCCCATAGATGAGAAAAGGAAACTAATTCTGCCCTTATTTCAAGTTCGTGAATATATGTATTTTTCTTCAAAAACGTTTGTTGTGGTCCTGAGGCTGTAGTTTAGCGGTGCCTAGCAAGCACAAGGCCCTGAGTTCCATTCCCGGTACAAAAAAAAGGAAGTGCATTTTATATACAAGAAAAAACTGACAAACCCCAATTTGTCAAATCCCCTGCTATACTGGTGGATTTTTCAGTCAACAATCAATTTGAGAATGCATTCAAAATTTAGAATAGCGTTCTTTAAGACTGAGGCAGGAGGGGTGCATATCTGAGTCTAGTGTTGGCAACTTAGACTTAGTGGGACCGTCTTAAAACAGAAATTTTAAAAGACCTGGGGATGTCGCTCAGTGGGAAGGCCCTGGTTCAATCCTCAGTATCACAAAACAGAACACAGGGGCTGGGGATTTAGCTGTGGTTCCGCCACCTGCTTTGAAAGCGCAAGGTCAAGTTTGATCCCGGGTACCAAAAAAACAAAACAGAACACAGTAACGATGCCTATCCCATACGGTGGTTGTCAGAATCCAGTGCGATTCTACAAGCAAAGGGCAGAGTAACTGGCACAGTCACGTTGTAAGACCGAGGGCCTTACCAAACGCTCCAAGGAGCTGACTAGTGAAGCACACCCAGGAATCCCAGCGGTGCCTTCAGAATGTAAGACCAAGAGCCTTACCAAACGCTCCAAGGAGCTAACTACAGCGAAGAACACCCGGGAAGGAACACACCAGACAAGTTGGAAAACATACCTTTATTAGTCTGGCCAGACGGCACTCCCAAAGCAAAATAGCTTAGAGAGGCAACTGGCTCAGAATCCGAGGCTGTTTTTATAGGGGGTTGAGGTGGAAGTTAACATATAGAGTTAAAGAAAAGGGGACAAAAGTTAGTGGTCGACTGTCACGTATTTATGGTCAGCAGACATTTGCAGCTTGTTCTAAAAATTGTGGTGCCCGGAACATCAGTTCCGGGCAAACAAGGAGTTGAGTAGTTTACTCTGGGACTTTAGATCTGTTACAGATTTTTATCTAGCGTCTCAAAACTAACAAGCATAACTCACATTTAATCACAATGGGGCTGGAGAAAAGGAACAAAGGTTATGTAGTCCCACAACATAGTAAATGCTCAATAAACATTTGATATTTTTAGTGTACTTGACTGGCAACCGAGTTACCTACTATGAAGAGCAACCACTGGTATTTCTTAAGCACAACACAGAGGTAGATGGGTACCAACAGGCCTGGTGACGAACGCCTGTAACCCCAGCTACGCGGGAGGCTGAGCCAGGAGGATTGCAGGTTCCAGGACAGCCTGGGATACGTAAGGCCTGAACTACACGTCAAGATCCTGTCTGAAAAAAACAACAAAAAAGCATAAATCTCACTTAGTAATGTCCAATGCTAAAACCAAAGTAAGCACAATAATGAGAGGGAAACTTGGAGAACCCAGAAAGCCATACAGCTTCCCCTCAACTCCCCATACAGCTTCTTAAAGGACAACGCGCACAGCCCAGCAAGAAGCAAGATGGAGGACAAGGCGGGTAAAGAAAAGACTCCGCGAAAAACGCATGGGTGGAACCCTACCTCCCCGGGAAGTCACCAAAAACGCAGGTCCTTCCTCACTATTGGCTAGATTCCCACAGTTTTTCCTTTTCTACTGGTTACCGCTTCTGATTCTAGGTCAAAATACCCAATCGCCTAACACCTCGGGGTCAGTGCCCGCCCTTCCGCAGAGGAGGAGGAGCCAGAAGACCGGCAAGGCCCAGGGCGCTTGCGTGCGCGTGCGCACTCTTGGCCGGTTCGAGGTTTCGAAGGGACAGCGGCCCGGGGGCGGAGCTGTGGCTCATGAATATTCATTACGCACCGCGCCGCGCCCGCCCCTCTCGGCTGCCGACGCTCGACGCTCGCCGCTCGCGTTCCGGCTCGCGATGGGGAAGAAGTCGCGGGCGGTACCCGGCCGCAGGCCCATCCTGCAGCTCTCTCCGCCGGGGCCCCGCAGCAGCACGCCAGGCCGGGACCCCGACCCCGACCCCGATCCCGACCCTGAACCGGACGCCACGGCGGCCGCCCCTAGCCAGCCCGCCCCGGCGGCGGCGGCGGCAGCAGCGACGACGGCGCCCGCGATCACGGCCGCCGCGGCCCCCGACGACTCCGCTTCGGAAGGTGAGGACGCCAGGAAGCGGCGCGGACTGGGTCGGGGCGGCGGCGGGCGCCATGGCCGCCGCGGAGCGCGCTGGGAGCCCGCGACCCCCGCATCCCGGCGGCAGCGAGGCCAGCGGGGTCTCTTCGGTGCCTCGCCCGCTTCCTTTCGGTTTTGTTAAGCAGAAAAGCGACTGGAACAAGCTGGCGCACTCGTATGAGTGCAGCTGCGCGGGAGGCTGAGGCAGGAGACCACCGCGGGCAACAACTTGAAACCCTGTCTCAAAAATTTAAAAGGGATGGTGATATGGCTTAGTGCCAGAGCGTCCCTGGATTTCATCCCCAATATTTAAAACAAAAGTTAAACCCTTTTTGTCATGCCAGACAAAGCCAAAGTGTCCCCAGATTTACAGGTGTCCCCAAAACTGATGGAGAAGTGGAACCTGCGAGTTTCCAAGTACTTGTGTTCTCCCTAAAATGGAGAGGTCAGGAAAACCTCAATCTTGGACGAAGAGTTCTCTGTAGGACTTACGTGCAGGGTTAGGCACTGGGACCATTTCCGGTGTTGAGACGTTACCTTAACTGAGAAGCAGCGTGGCCCGGCTGAAGCAGGAGGATCCCAAGTTCGAGCTCAGCCTGAGCGATTTAGGGAGCCTCAAAATAAGCGTAGGAAAAAAACTCTGGACCCTGGGAAATCTAAGATCAAGCCATTGACATCTGGGTTAGTGGTTCTTTTCCTTCCATACCCTTTTTTTTGTTGTTGTGCTGGGGACTGAACCCAGGGCCTTTGCACTGAGCTTCATCCTGGCCCTTTTTTAAATCTTGGGATAGAGTCTGAGTTACCTAGGCTGGGCTCGAGTTTAAAATCCTCCTGCCTCAGCCTCCGGAGTGCTGGAATTACAGGCATGCGCTGCCACCATGTGGGACCTTGCCTTGATTTTTTTTAAGTTGATGAAATTTAGATCTGCAATGTGAAACCACGGACCTGTCTGTCACCTATAGTGTTTTCTTGGTCCAAGCCCTGACTGCAGTTTCTTTTTTTCGTTTTCGAAATCTAGATGAGCAGGAAGTGGTGGTGGAGGTGCCCAGAGTTCAGAATCCTCCAAAACCAGTCATGACCACCAGACCCATGGCTGTGAAGGCAACAGGTAGAGTGATCTTCAATTGTTCTACACCTTCTCTTAGATCTTGTGGAGTTGCAAGTGAGCTCATGCGCAGCAGGTTTTGTTGAACACCTTAGTGGCCCCAGTTTATATTTTTTCCATAAGGGGAGTGCTTGTTGGTGTAGACATTTTGAGCAGTGCAGAATTTGTTGCTTTTTTTCTGTACCCAAAATGCTTTGTACTATTTCTTCTAACATGTGTGGAGTTTCATTTGTTTTTCGAGGGGAGCTTCTCACTTTGTACTTTATGCCAGCCTAGAACTTGGTACTGTGTTTAACCAAAAATAAGACCTAACTGGAAAATAAGCCCTAGCATGATTTCTCAGGATGCTGGAAATACAAGCCCAAGCCCCAAAATAAGCCCAGTTCAGCTCATCTGTGAGATGGATGCATTTAGTATGTTGGTGGCAACACGATGGACGTATTCAGTTATAAAGTAGTGATACATAAGTATAAATAAACAATACTGATATTAATACTTAAATGATAATACAAATTGTAATCATTTGTAAATACCCGAGCGGGTACCTGTGGACCAGAGGCAGAGGCCTCTGTAAACAGATGAACAAGACTTACTGCCAGATGACCAGAATACAGATGCACGTGCAGACAGACAAGGTTGTGTCTGTTGTGAATCTTCATAACTCAGTACGTCGTGTGTTGTAACAGATGTACAGTACTTAATGCACTTGTGTGAAATAAAGGAATGTTTTCTGAATTTTGGTGCCTGCAATTTTTCGTCGCTTTCATGTGTCCCATCATTCTTACTTGTCATCATGTTTGTTGCCACTCCTGTGTCATAAGTGTTCAGTTAACACTTGGTTTAATGGTAGACTTAAAGGGAATAATATTTTGACCCCCAGACAAGGTGAGTGCAAAAAGAAAGAGCTATTCCGTCGAGTACAAGAAGGGCATCGTGGAGGCCTCGCGGGGCAAGAATCTTACAGCTTTCTGCAAAGAGAAGAAGTTGGATCTCCGGATGGTCCGGAAGTGGCGCTCGGAGTACTCGCACCTCAGTCAGCAGGTGGACGTGGGGAACGCCAAGAAGCGCAAGTGCGGGTCGGGCCGGCAGGCGCTGTTCCCTGAGCTGGAAGACCTCGTCTGCGAGTGGATCGCTGACAGGGGAGCCAGGGCCCTGGTTGTGCGCAGGGCTGACATTCAGGCCTTTGCCCTGGCGCTGGCACCACAGTTAGAAATATCCCCAGATGAGTTCAAAGCGTCCCAGCACTGGCTGGATGGCTTCCTTCAGCGGTACCATTTGATCTGTCTGTAAGGTCTATGCCACTGTTCAAGCTGGAAGACTCTGGAGTTACTAAATGTGCGCTTGTGTTTGAGGCCTTGTGGCTGGCCCAGACTTTCCCAAACACCAGCTCTCCAGCCGATTCCTGGGGGTGAAGCTGCAGTGTTCTTGGCCAAGGATCTCAGAGGACTGGGTCTGAGGGGTGCACTGGTGAGGGAAGCACACACCTTTCCTGTCTTCTGGACGTTTGTGTGGACAGTAAGAAAGCCCCTCCGCTAATCACTAAGGGCATGAAAAACAGCACTGAATGCGCCTCTGGCATTTCTGTTCTTGACAGCAAAGGGGCCTGCTGCGCCAGACAGTTAACAAGGAAGTGGGGCGATTGAATGCCACCCCTTTTGGCCAGGTGGCCAGAGAGGCCTGCGAGTCTGGGTCTCAGCCAGCACTCACTGCGTAAGCACAGAAGAACTTGCTTGCAGCGAAAAGAACAGGTCAGAGTGATTCCCACAGGAGTGACTGCCTGTTTCCAGACTCAATACTACAGTGGACAGCCATGCAAGGACCATTTGCATGTGAGAGCCGATGACTATGTTGAAAATAGAATGGAGAGAAATCTTGGAAACGTGAGGCCTGGCCTACAGGATATGGTGACGTGGGCGAAGGATTCATGGGGTAAAACCACTGACAGCTGTGTTCCTGGATCCCTATGATCAGGCTGCATGGGCAAGAAGTCAAGGAGAGCCCTGTGGTGACACAGAGACGAGAGAAAGGTTCTACTGGAAATGGAGTTTGGGGTTTGGAGTGATGATCCAGAAGTTGACAGGACTGTGATTAATTAAATGTAGATTTCCGCGCATGAATAAAAGTAGGTTGTACATGACAAAAGTAAAACATCCCATGAAAATTTTGGGGGGAAATACAGTATGTAGCCCAGGCTGGCTTCAAACTTGGGATTCTCCTGCCTCAGCCTCAGGAATACTGGGATTACAGGTGTGGACCATCACTCCCAGCTCCTGGTGTTACTTTGTGACAGCTTTCTGGTTGTCCTACTGACTGGGTGTTCTTAGGGGATACGGTGACGGCTTCCTCCTTGTTTTGTTTTGTAACGGTCTGTCTCGGTGCCTGGCTTACATTTGTGGAGCAGAAAGTTGCTTGTGTAAATGTGAGCACAGAGGAGTATTTGCAGCAGTGGCTTTAGTTAAACCTGCGGTAGATCATCATTCTAGCATTCACTGTAGGACTTCAGTGCAGTTATTAACTGGCTGATCCTCATTTGTCTGTCAAATAGATTTTCTAGCCCTGAGTTATTTTGAGGATTAGATAGAATGTGCATGCTGAACTAGTGCTCTACCACCGAGCTACACCACCAGCCCCATTGCAGTTAGCTTGAAAGATCCAAATGTTGCCATACCATGGATTACGAAAGCTAAAACTTGCTAGGCATGACTGATTTTCATAGCACTCTGAGGCTGAGGAAGGAGGATCACAAGTTCAAGCCCAGCCCGGGCAACTTAACAAAACCCCATCTCAAAACTTTAAGAGGGCCAGGAGTAGGCCCAAGCCTCAGTACTGCCGAGAAGAAAAGGCTAACCCTCAGCTGTGACGTTTCAGAGCTACATAACACCACTTTGTGTTTGCAGACTGCTGTACAGATACTGCTTGATTTGAGTCTTCCCTAAGAATCGGGACGGTGGACAGAAGGCCCGCGTGCCTGGGGGGAGAGACCAAGGCTGCTGCGACAGTGTATTGCTTTTGCTCGGTTCCTACCCACTAGTTGGTGTAATGCAGCAGGAAGTGTTTGCCAAACGGCAACCACTGAAAAATGACTTTCCCTTATTTGCATGGATTTGTGTAACCAGTATTAAAGTGGATGTAAAATTTACTTTTTCTTCCTTCTCATTTCCTTCTCACGATGCTGGAGATCAGTCCTGGGGCATCGTGCACCTGGCAGAGCCCTGCTGCTCAGCTGTGTCACCTGCCCTGTTTCTTTCTCTCAAAATTACGTTAAAGACATCTGCCCTCCTCACTGGAAACTTGACACAAAAATGGACATAAGTTTTGAAAGATCAAATAAAATATTTCAAAGTTGAGTATGTTTAGATGAAAGAGTAGACCAAACTTCTAGTGCATTTTGGTTTTGTGGTACTGGGAATTGAACACAGGACATTTATTCCTAGCCTTTTGTTTTATTTGGTTTGTTTGGGGGGGGTTGGGGGGGGTACCGGAGATCGAACTCATGACCTTGTACTTTCGAGGCAGGTGGCGGAACCACTGAGCTAAATCCCTGGCCCTGGTTTGGTTTTTTGAGACAAGTCCCCCCATGTAGTTCAAGCCGGCCTCAAACTTGAAGCAGTCCTCCTGCCTCAGCCTCCGGAGTGCTGGCATTACAGGTGTGAACCACCATGCCCAACTCCAGCCCTAATTCATTATTTTGAGACAGAATCTTACTAAGTTGCCTAGGCTGGGCTTGAACTTGATCTCTCTGCCTCAGCCTCCCAAAATGCTAGGGTTACAGATGTGTGCAACTGCACCAGCCTGTCTGGTACTTTTATAGTGGAAATGTTAGGTGTGTCATATGAAATTACCTCAGAAAAAAAATTAAGATACCGTCTATTAAGTTAGCTGAGTAGACCTCTAGAGCAGTGGGCAGTGTTTAAGCATCTTCGAGAAAAGAGTTGCTTAATGTGGCTCCATGGGTGAGTCCGAGGAGTGGTGTGCCCAAGTGTGTGTCACTGGGGCGAGTGTGTTTCCATGGAACATTTCAACTGCTGATAGTTTCTGGGACCCCAAAGGGTTTTAAAAAAATCTAGGTGAGCTGGTTGTCGTGGCGCACCCCTGTAATCCCAGCACTTGGGAGGCTGAGACAGGAGGGTCACCATGAGTTCAGGGCCAGCCTGAGTTAAGTAGTAAAACCCTGTCCCAAAAAAACCAAAAAAAGAAAAATACAGTTGAAACAACATTATGTATTCAGCACTGGTGAGGCCCTTCCCTTCAAAATCTATCAGTGCTGAATAGCAAAATGTGGGGTTTTTCCATTTTGAATTTTTCTCCTTTTGTAACTCTGCTCTTACAATGCTAAATTAAATGGTTGTGTTCAAAAATTCAGGAAAAGCCCAAAAAGAGTAAGAGGAATACATTTGGTCACTGGGACATGGATGTTGTCAAAGAAAGGTCCACCTAACCCTTTCATGAGTCTAAAATACAATGGCTGATCAAAAAATACAGTGTGTTTAAGAAAATTATTACTGTAGAAGACACATGGCCATGACTCCCCTCAAAATCCTCCCCTTGCCTTGAACGCTCATCCCATGGTTTTGCCACTTCCTGGAGCACTCTTGTTCTGTGAGTGTCTTCTAAGACAGTGTGATGCAAGTCTGGTGGATGGCACCCAACGCAGAGGCAGGCTTGAGAAGCCCTGGCGGGCGGTGTCCTTGCCTCACTAGATCTGCCACAGGAGTTCCTGAGGAAAACATTTTGAATTGATTCAGGACATCAGGGCATCCATGACAACACAACTAAAGAACACTCATGAAAGAGTACTGCAGAGCTGCTGCAGCAGTTGGCAGGAACCATGGGATAAGTGTGTTTGAGCAAGGGAGTGGGGTTTGAAGATGAATGCCATTGTGTCTTTTACTTTAATAAATTTTTAAAAATTTAGACATTAACTTTTTATTCACACCCTCCCCCCTTTTTTTTGTTTTTCCTTCTGAGACAGTCTCACTGTGTAGCTCAGGCTAGCCTGGATCTCGAAGTGATCCTCCTGCCTCAGCCTCCCCAGTGTGGGGATTGCAGGCATGCACCCTCACACCCAGCCACACCTCGTGTTTGGGAACTTGATCTTTGGAATACTTGACCTGCATACTAAAGAGTACTGAAGGCTAGTTTAGTGATTGTGGCCAATTTGGGGCTAGTTTCTAGTATGTAAATAAACTACACTGAAGAATGGTGGGTGCCGAGCTTCCTTGTCTGGGCTTCCCAGGATGCAGGCTCTCCAGTCCCAATCCCTCCCTGCTTGCTTCTAGGCGGGCTGTGCCTGCTTGGTGCCTACGCTGACAGTGACGACGATGAGAGCGATGTTTCCGAGAAGCCGGCGCAGGCCGAGGAGGCCAATGGGAACCCATCAGCTGACATCGACAGCACCCTGGCCAGCTTCCTGGCGGTGAGAGTTGGTCTCTGTCTGCTCTCTGCTGCACTCACCTCTCCTCTCCCCTCCCCTCTTACGGAAAGCTTAACGGGAAGGAGTGGAAGGGGAAGGAGGATCGGTGGGCTTGGGGAACTGTCACTGGAAGAGGGGAAGTTCTGGGTTTTGGTTTGCTTTGTGCAGTGCTGGAGGTGGCGCCCAGGGCCTCTAATGCCCTAGGCAAGTGCTCAGCATGACGGAGAATAGAGCACAAGCGATTGCAGGGTCCCTGGTGTCCAGCCCTCAGGTCACCCATGCGTGCACTGCCTGTTCCTCCTGCAGGAGATCGATGCCATCACAGCTCCTCAGCCTGCAGTGCCTGCAGGAGCTTCAGCCCCACCTCCGACTCCGCCTCGGCCTGAGCCAAAGGAAGCAGCCACGTCAGCCCCGAGCTCCACTGTGTCCAATGGCACCAGTGCGACCCCGGCCCCAGAGTGGCATTACGACACACAGTGCTCCCTGGCAGGAGGTGAGCCCCAGCCCGGGGTCCTGGGGTGTTCCTGCAGGCTGGGCGGAGGACAGGGCTCCGGCGCTGTGTGGCTGGAGTGCACTGAGGATAGTGCACTGAGAACTCACAGAAGGTAATTTCTGCCTTTTGTAAGTTCAAGCCCCTAGGAGAGTCATCTGTAATAGGTAGTATTCTCCTATCCATTTATCTATTTTGTGCTGGGGGTTAAACCTAGAGCCTCACACTTGCTAGGTGAGAGCTGCTCTATCCAACCCTGTTAGGTAGTATTGTATGTTTGAGGTTTTTTTTTTTTGTACTGGAGATCGAACTCGGGACCTTGCACTTTCGAGGCAGGCGGTGGAACCACTGAGCTAAATCCCCGGCTAACTTCTGCCTTTTGACAAGTAACCTAGTACTGATCTAAACTCCAATGGATTATGCTGGGTAAGTTTAAAAAGCCATTATTTAAAAAGCATTTTGGGGCTGGGGATTTAGCTCAGTGGTTCCAGTACCTGCCTTGCAAGCGCAAGGTCCCAAGTTCGATCCCCGGTACCCCGCCCCCCCAAAAAAAGCATTTTGGGTTCAAAATACATTTTTGGACTAGCAAACTGCTTTCTTCACCATGTGTGCAAAGGTGTCTAAATGTCCACCAAATATGTAATCCTTAAGTCAGAGCAGAGTTCTCAGCTGTGAGCTGTTCTCAGTTGTGTGTGGCCCCAGAGACAGGCCACCACGTCTATGTTTTCAGCTGGGGCCTGGGATGCGCTAAACCCTGATGTAAGATTCACAGCCCTAAAAGCTGCACCAGCGCCGAGTTGGAGAAACCCTGTGAGATGCCGGGGCTTCGGAACACACTGGAGATGAAGTCAGAGACGTGCTGGGTCTGTGCTTCTCACGATCATTCTTTTCTTGCAGTGGGAATCGAGATGGGAGACTGGCAGGAAGTCTGGGATGAGAACACAGGCTGCTACTACTACTGGAACACGCAGACCAACGAGGTCACCTGGGAGCTGCCCCAGTACCTTGCCTCCCAGGTGCAGGGGCTGCAGCATTACCAGCCCAGGTAGGCGGCCTGGAAGAGGAGGGAGCGGCAGGGCTGATTGTGTGTCGATTGGCTTTGCCTGCAGTTCCTCTTACTAGGTTTGTTTTCCAGTTCTGGAACAGGTGCTGAAGCTAGTTTAGTGGTAAATGCAGACTCGTATACGAAGGAGAAGCCAGTTCCTGTCTCCAGCAATAAGAGTGGACCAGCCCTAGCCAAGCGAGAAGTCAAGAAGGTCAGTGCTGGGAGTCACCTCCGTGCTGCTGTGCACAGGGGGAGCTGTTGCTGCTGCGTAGCCCGGGTCTGCTCTGCATTCCCTCTGCTTCCTGCACCACGGAACCTGGGCTCAGCTTCACCAAGCAGGAGGCGCCAGGTCCCCATCCCATCCTCACTTCCAAGAGAACCACTCTGCTAGTCCACGGTTCCATAGAGCGTTTGCTTAAATTAGCAGACAGGGCGCCCTGAGAATTAAGTGTTAAGCTGGAGTGTCCCATGCAGGATGGCGAGAGCAGGTGTGTTAGCAGGCAGGGCTCCTTTTGGATTTGGAGCGCGTGTGTGCGTGCAGACATCAAGGGTGTGGGGCCGCGTCTAAGAGCAGAATTTGTGTATATTTCACCTGTACCTTTCACACATAGCCTGAAGTCGATCTTATACAGGATTTGTACTGTGTCTGTTGCATTTATTGTTTTTGTTTTGTTTTGAAGGTTTTGTTATGTGGGGTTTTTTGTGTTTTGTGGGTTTTTTTGGTACCGGGGATCACACTCAGGTCCTTGCGCTTGCACAGCAGGTGGTGAAACCACTGAGCTAAATCCCTGGCCCTGTTACATGGGTTTTTTTTGTGACCAGGTCTTACGTAGTCAAGGTTGGCTTTGAACTCTGAATCCTCCTGCGTCAGCCTCCTGCATGCTAGAATAATAGGCATGTGCCATGACACCTAGCTGGTGCATCTACATTTTTTTGTTTTGTTTTTTTGTTCGCCTTTAATGACACTAAGGGTTAGGTCTAAGGCCTTTACTGAGCTACATCCTTAGCCACCTTTTTTTTTTTGGTACTGGGGATCGAACTCGGGTCCTTGCGCTTGCGCAGCAGACGGCGAAACCACTGAGCTAAATCCCCGGCCCCCTTAGCCACCTTTTTTATTTTGAGACAGGGTCTCACTAAGTCAGTAGGTTACCCGGGTTAGGCTTGAATTGAAATCCTCCTACTAAACAGGAGGATTCCTTGAGGGCTTATAGGTGTATGCCACCACGCCTGCCAGTGTCTGCTTTTTGACCAAAGTCCTAGCACGAAGTCAGTGGTAGAATTTTCCACTTGACAGTGGAGAGGAGGATTTGGATTCCAGAGCAGTCCAGGTTTTCAGGTTAGGGTTGCTGAGCCTGTGCCAGTGATGGCGAACCTTTTCAGAGCTTTCAGTGATGCCAGCAGCCTGCTGCAGCACGTGAGCCATGGGTTCGCCTCCACTGCTCTATACCAATGGCACCTGAGTGGGTTTTTTTTTTTCTTTATTTTTTCTTTTTGAGACAGGGTCTCTCTGTAGTTCAGGCTGGCCTTGAACTCATGGAGATTCTCCTGTCTCAGCTTCCTGAGTGCTGTGATTAGGGAGGCCTGTGCTGTCACACCCAGCCTTTTTTCTTTCTTTCTTGGCAGTGTCAGGGATTGAACCCGTTGAACCATGGCTTTTGCACTAATTTGTACACACACCCTTTCCCTTGGAGACATTGTTCCGTTGCCCAGGTGTGACTTGAATTTGCAAACTCTCAGTCCCCCTGCCTCCCTCGTGGCCTCCTAAAGTGTTTGTGTTAGGTGGTGTGGCAGCACACACATGCACCGTGTGGGGCAGGCAGGTTTGTGCGCATCCAGCGTGGAACACAGCCGTGAACATGGGCTCCCGGGTGCGCCCTGGCGACTCCCAGCTGAGCCCGATGTGTTCTCCACAGGAGGTGAACGAGGGCATCCAGGCGCTCTCCAACAGCGAGGAGGAGCGCAAAGGGGTGGCGGCAGCTCTGCTGGCGCCTCTGTTGCCAGAGGGAATCAAAGAGGAAGAAGAGCGATGGAGGAGAAAGGTGATTTGTAAAGAGGAGACACCCGTTTCCGAGGCGAAAGAGACCAGCGCCATTGCAGAGGAAACTGCCACTCCAGGGAAGCCACCAGAAGTCCTGCTGGACGGCAGCGATGACCCCGCTCAGGAGGACCTGTGCAGCGTGGTCCAGTCCGGGGAGAGTGAGGAGGAGGAGGAGCAGGACACCCTCGAGCTGGAGCTCGTTTTGGAAAGGAAAAAGGTGCGGTTCTCCCCAGCTGCCGTGTTCTTAGGGCCATGGGCATAGCGTGCTGCCGGGCTGTGCGCGTCCCGCCTGCGTCCCACCTTCTGTGGGCCGGTCGGGCTGCGTAGTCAGCTCCCGCTGTGGTTCACACCTGACAAGCTTCCAGTGGTGACAGCCAGTAAATTCGGAAAGCTTTTCACCCTTGGGGAGCTAGTGTCAGCCTATTTTCTGCCTTTTCCCTGCTACCACCTTAAAAGGTCCAGTATGAAGCAAGGTCTGTTTTGTGTTTTCTTTCTTTTGGCTGTGCTAGGGGTTGAACCCAGGGTCTGGCATATGATAGATGAGAACTCTATGACTGAGCTACTTGTCTCTGCTAGTTCTTAAATTTAATTTTTTGTTTATTCATTGTTTGGTTTTTTTTTGTTGTTTTGTTTTGTTTTGCTTCTTTGGTACTGGGGATCGAACTCGGGACCTTGCGATTGCAAGGCAGGCGTTGGAACCAGTGAGCTAACTCCCCGGCCCTATTCATTGTTTTTTGTTTTTTTGTTTTCTTTTGGTACCGGGGATTGAACTTGGGTCCTTGTGCTTGTGCAGCAGGCAGCGACATCGCTGAGCTAAATCTCCGGCCCTATTCATTGTATTTTGAGACAAGGTCTGTGCAGTTCAGACTGGCCTTGAACTCACTGTGTAGCCCAGGCTGTCCTCAGTGTCTCACCAGTCCTCCTGCCTCAGCCTCCCAAGGGCTGGGTAATCAGCTTTTGTAACGGTCCTTGGGGCCACGCAGTTACTGGGCGGCATTGGGGTGGAGCTCCGTGCTCGGCTGTGATACCAGCTGTGGCGGCAGCAGCACTGCCTGTTCTCGAGGCTTCCCATCCTGAGAGCTTGGCCATGAGTGTCATTCTGGCCGCTTGGGTTCGTAAATGCGGAGAAGCCGTTACTGTGTCAGTACTGACACCCGTGACTCCTGGTTTTCAGGCCGAGTTGAGAGCCTTGGAGGAAGGAGATGGCAGCATGTCAGGGTCGAGTCCCCACTCCGATGTCAGCCAGCCGGCATCTCAGGACGGGCTGCGAAGACTGAGGTCCAAACAAGGCAAGTGGAAGATGTTTGTCCACGCTCCCAGCCCGGAGTCCGTCAGCCGGAGCCCCAGCAAAACGGGACGGGAGACGCCCGAGAACGGAGAAGGCGGTACGTGGCATCGCACCTGACACTATTTCCCTTCGCGTTTTGCAGTGCTGGGAAGGGACCCGGGGCTTCAGGCCTGCAGGGCAGGGAGCTGCGCCCCACCACCACCACCACCACCGCCCCGTCCTGGTACTCGGAGGGGCGAGCAGTGTGGCAGGCAGCCTCGTCCCTCTACTGCACTGGGAAGGAAGCTCCCGGCTCGGAGTGTTCATTACCCTGGGGCCTCTGCTCCAAGGCTGACAGTATGGGCACGGAAGCTGAAGGCCCGTGCTTCCTGCCCCAGTGGAGCCAAGCGAGGACAGCCCAATTCCACAGAAAGCCCCAGCGTCTGCAGTCCCTTTGAGGTGCAGGTGGCCCGGGGACAGCTTCCCGGTTACCAGGAAGCTCTTGAGAAAGCTGTTTACATCTCCTCTTGGCCCTAATTCTGTAGTGGAAGTTAGCAGAAAGACTTGAACACCAAACCTTTGATGAGTGTGTTTAGCAGGAGATAATTTTACTCCCATTATTACCAAAAAATAATAATAATAGTAATAATAATAGTAATTGGAGGAGTGCTCCTGTGAATCTTTTTCAATCAACAGGATAAAAGAACATGAAGTAAAATTCTGAGCCGACACCTTTATTCTTATTCTCTACTCTTCTTATCCCTGCTGCATATTTGGGAGGTTTTTCTGGGTACTTTGTTTTAATCTTGTTTTGGTTTTTGGCAATACTGGGGATTGAACCAAGGGAATACTGAGCCACATCCCCAGCCCCCTTTTTGTTTTGTTTTGTTTTTTGAGACAGTCTCACTGTGTAGTCCAGGCTGACCTTGAACTCACTATGTAGCCCAGGCTACCTTCAAATTCACAGTGATCCTCCTGCCTCTGCCTCCCAAGTGCTGGGATTACAGGCATGCACCACCACACCCAGCCTCCTTTTTGTTGTTGTGGGGGTTTTTTTGTTTGTTTTTTTTTGGTACTGGCGATCGAACTTGGGACCTGGCGCTTTCGAGGCAGGCGCCGGAACCACTGAGCTAAATCCCCGGCCCCTTTTTGTTTATTTTGAGTCAGGGTTTCACTAATGTTTCTGCATTGGCCTTGAACAAGTGATCCTCTAGCCTCTTGTGTAGCTAGGATTACAGGCATTTGACATTGTGCCCATCTTGGGTGGTTTAAAATTAATGCTGCTCTGATTTTGAAAACTTTCTTCCTGCCCCATCCAGCTTGTTAGTACTGAAGATGGAACCCAGAACCTTCTCAGTGATCCACATCCCCAGCCACCTCTATTCCCCCTATTTTGGAGACATGGTCCGTCACTCTCAGTTGCCCAGGCTGGGCTTATGTTCACAACCCTCCTGTTTCAGCCCATCAGGTTCTGGGTTTAGAGCTGTGTGCCCCGACACCTGGCTAGAACTTTTTTTGGGGGGGGGCTACTTTTTATCAATGAAGGAAAACAGGCAAAGGAGAGAACTGTGTTCTTTCTCAAATATGGCTGCTTTTGGTGTTAGGTGTTTTTGGTTTAATTTCATGTTTTTGTTTTTTGAGAAAGGGTTTTGTTATGTAATTAATTGTATTTTCTTTTGCAGGAATTGGTGCTGAAAATTCAGAAAAAATAGATGAAAATTCAGATAAAGAGGCAGAAGTAGAAGAATCTTCGGAGAAGTTGAAAGTACAAACAGCACCAAAAGTAGAAGACGACCAGGATTTGAAAGTATGCACATTACTCAATGTAACTTGACACATACTTTTTTGGAGTGGGGGTAGGTACTGGGGATTGAACTCAGGACCTTGGATTTGCCAGGCAGGTGTGGTGCCACTGAGCTACATCCCCAGCCCCAACAAATACTTTTTTTTTTTTAGTACCAGGGATCGAACTCGGGTCCTTGCGCTTGTGTAGCAGGCGGCGAAACCACTGAGCTAAATCCCTGGCCCTCGATAAATACTTTTTTAAAAGGCCAACCATTATACTACTCTCCAGTAGCAAGTGATAAGTCTATTATATTTAAGATTAAGCCTAAATTGAAAACCCATTTTGTCCTATTGTTAAGTGAAGTCCTGTTAAGGTTGAAATATGGAGCTATAGGACCAGCTTGATGCGGAGAAAATGTCGGAAAATTCTGTGCTAATTACTTTCTTTGGAGTTAAGCTTCATTGAAAAGAATAGCTCATCAGTAGCAAGTTCTCTGTGGAAGTACTGGAGACTAAAAGTCAGATTTAATATTAGGCAAAGCGCTTATATGCAAAGAAGGGCAACTTCAGCTCCAGTTGCGTCTCTGCCCTGACCTCATGGAAAACGGGATGGAGGAAGCCCTGCCAGCTTCTGGATCCTCGGGGCCAGCTCCAGGGCCTGGGCGTCCCAGGTGTGCAGTGGTCACCTGGGTCACCTAGGGACAGTGACAAGAAGAACCCCCACGTGTCCAGGGGAGACATCTTCGTTCTCAAAAACTGTCAGGGTTCTTTTTCCACTTTATTGAAGTGTAACTGACGGCAGTTGAATGTATTTAGCAGGTGCAGGTTTTTATGGATACGTTGTATCGTGATTGTTGGAAAGTGGCCAGTTAACCTAGGCCTCTCCCCCAGCTTCCTTGTGGCTCCAGTCAGGCCACAGCCCCCTCCTGCTCCTGCTCTTTCCTTCCCAATGGGACTCCGGTAGCTGAAGCCCTGCTTTTAGCTGTGGGGTTCCGGGCAGTGGCGTGGGTGCTAACTGATCGTCTCCCCTGGGCCTGGGGAGAGAGTGGCACTGGGAGCGGTACCCTCATTTCTGGCATCTGTAACAGGAGACAGAAAACGGTGCTGATTCTGTGTTTGTTGACTTTCTTTTCTTCCTGTGTTAGTTTCAGATTGGAGAGCTGGCAAACACCCTGACAAGCAAATTCGAATTCCTGGGCATTAATAGACAGTCCATCTCCAACTTCCACGTGCTGCTCCTGCAGACTGAGGTAACGGAGCCACCTTCGTTGCAGATAGTGTTCCTGTGAGACATGGAGTGGGAGGAATCTGGCCTGGTTGCTCCTCATCCGAAGTTTTATTATTTTTCTTTTTCTTGAGTTTGTGAGACAGGGTCTCAAGAGTTTAAGGGTGGCCTTGAACTGGCAGTGGTCCTCTTGCCTCAGCCCCCTGAGTGTTGGGATTATAGGCATACACCATCATGCACAGCACTTTACCTTCAATTTTAAAGGCTCAGGAAATAAAACTTTATTAGTCAAAGCAAAATGTAATTATGAGAGTAGATGCTAACAGTTCGTATATACTGACACTTTCGTCCTTCATTAGGCATGCTTTTTTTTTTGGTACCGGGAATCAAACTCAGGATCTTGCACTTACCAGGGACAGCACCACTGAGCTGCATCCCCAGCCCTAGGCATGCATTTTAATAAAGATCCCCACTCGCACACTGTGGATGGAACCCAGGGCTACGCAGTGGCTTCACCACTGACCCACACCCCCCAGCCCAGGCACACCCCCCCCCACAGTGGAATCTGGAATTGAACCCTGGCCCTTGTGGTCCCAACCCTTTTTTAGGGGGGAATGGATTTGAGACGAGCCTCGCTTATTTATTGTAGGCTGGCCTTTGAACTCACGGCAATCCTCCTGACTCAACCTCCTGAGTGCTGGGGTTATAATGTGTGCCACCACACTGGCTTCAGCTCTTCACAATGTTTTGTATCCTCAGGAATAGCGATCCTTTTACCCAGCTCTCCTAAGATGCTGGGGTTATACACGTGTGCTACCACGTCCACCCAGGACCTTTAGTTTTAATTATTAATAGTACTAAATTGAATTGTCTACCCAAAATAAAGGCCAAAGCCAAGAAATAAAATTATTGGGATGATTAATCTTAAATTCAGAGAGGAGGACAGAGCCAGTGCTACCCATTTTCACTGATGGTCAAACGTGGTCAGTATAGAAATATCCTGGAGTCCAATCTGATTTTTCAGGGCAAGTAAGTCTGTTGTTTTTAAATTAAGGTGAGGTGTACAAACCATGTGATGAGCCAGTTCAAGCCTGCCGCCTGTGTTTTGTTTGAGTGTGTGTGTGTTTGCACACATGAAACACATCTCCCTCTTTCTCTTCCCCAGCCGCTCCCTCTGCCTCTTGCTCCCTTCTCATTTGTGAAAGATCTATCTCCATGTGTCCTGCTGGTTCCTTTGTAGGGGTTTTTTTTTTTTTGGACCAGGGATCAAACTCAGGACCTTGTGCTTGGTGCCACTGAGCTACATCCCCAGCTGTGTCCTTTGTTTTTTGGGGTTTTTTGGGTTTTTTGGTACCGAGAATCGAACTTGGGTCCTTGCGCTTGCGTAGCAGGCGGTGAAACCACTGAGCTAAATCCCTGGCCCCGTGTCCTTTGTTTTTTAAGATTATTTATAGTTTGGTCCAGGGATGTAGTTCAGTGGTTCTGCCGCCTGCCTTGCAAGCCTAAGGTCCCAAGTTCAATCCCTGGTACAAAAAAGCAATGAAGAAGATTATTTATACTTGGAGTTTCTCCTGTAAGAGAAGTCACGTGATACTCAGGCCTGTAAAGTTTTACTGGAACCCCACCCATCCCCTAAAAATTGAAGTGAAATTTCTTTTCCTCTGTGGTGTGTTCTGCCGAGTTTCAAGACTTCTGTCCCTCTCGCCTCTGTCTCCTGACCAAAGCCTTCCTTTCTCTCCTTGTTTAGACTCGAATTGCCGACTGGCGGGAAGGGGCTCTTAATGGGAACTACCTTAAACGAAAGCTTCAGGATGCAGCAGAACAACTAAAACAGTATGAAATAAACGCCACTCCTAAAGGCTGGTCCTGCCACTGGGACAGGTACGCACTCTTCTCCCCCTTTCACCTTTCACCTTTGACACCTCAGACTCTTTTGTGATCACCGCCACATGACGCCACGGCGGCCCGGCCCGTGTGGAGACTGTCGCTGCTGCGCTTAGCGGCCCGGGCCGGCCGCACAGCGGAGAAACAAACCAGTGTTTGCAGTGTGCCATGTAACGGATTTTTTCCCAAGATCGGACCAAGCCAGTGTTTCCTCTCCAGAGTGCACGGAGTAGGGCGGGCTTGGGGGTTAAGCGCATGCGAGAGCTCTGTGCGCTTTACAGGACCTCTGGAAGCACCTACTCCTGATTAACCTCGGCGAAGTTAAGGGAAGCTTCGTGGCTGAAGAGTGAACGAAGAACAAGATTACTATCCTCTGCCAGCAGGTCAGACGAAAACATTTCCTTTTATATTTGGCTTTTCTTGATTTTTTTTTTTCGTTATTTGAAATCTTTGCTCTTTTATTTTTCAGCTCCCAGATCCTCTCCCTCTCTTTAGCTTTCACTGTGTTTGATATCAAGAATATGAACTGTGAATTCCACGGTCCAAGAGGGGAAGAGTCACCTTTCACAAACTGCGCTGTTCTCTTCTTTGGAAGGGAAATTAGTGTTCTAGGCGATTGAGTCCCTCCATTAATGCAGCTGCACCCTGTTACGCATTGGCAAAAAGCAAAAAGAGAGATGTTGTCAGAGTCATGTGCTGGAGCGGGGGCGCAGGGCTGTATTCACAGAGCTGCTGTGTGCAAATAGCTTTGAGCTCTCCCTGGTTCTCCCTCCTCAGTGTCAAAGCTCTTTGTCGCCTTTGTGAATAGCAGTCCGTAAGAGGAGGTTCATCCCCGTGCAAGCAGACTGCTGCACTGGGGCAGGACCGAGTGCAAGTGTCCTTGTAGGGGAGCGGGCTCTGAAACCTGTGTTTTCTTTCTTGTAATTTAGGGATCATAGACGGTATTTCTATGTAAACGAGCAGTCGGGCGAGTCTCAGTGGGAGTTCCCAGATGGTGAGGAGGAGGAGGAGGAAGGCCATGCACCAGAGAGTAGAGATGAGACTCTTCCCAAATCCACCTTGAAGGACAAACCTGGCGCTGAATCAAATGCCACAGAGTCCTCTGAGAACCCCACAGGTGAGATGGTTTACCCTGCCTGGTTGGACTGCACTGATTTTAGAAAACAAGTCAGGAATTTATCAGAAAAGAAAAGCATTTATGACATAAGCTAAATTTTAGAGTGACTTGAACTAAATGTATGAGTTATACTAAAATGAAGGCAGTGACTGGTTTGGAAATCAGCATAACATGGATCAGACTGTGCCCCCGAATGAGAAGAGGGACCAGGACCACTGTGTGTCTGCCGGGCATCATGGGCCACGCCTGTCCTTGCAGCGTTCTGGAGGCTGGCAGGTCGTAGCCCAGCTCGGGCAGTTAGTGACTTAGTGACACCTTGATGGTGCTTAGTCTCTCGGTGTTGCCACCACATTTGCCACTTCCACTGCTCTTTAAAGCGTCTTTGGTACAAATCAGAGTGACAGGAGGAAATGCCATGAACTGGTACCATACTCTTTTCAGAAGAGCTAGATGGAGCCAGGGATGTAGCTCAGTGGCACCTCACCTGCCTGGCAAGCGCAAGGTCCTGAGTTCGATCCCCAGGATGGGCGATGGGGGACCTAGATAATTGATCCTTGAAAAAATTGTCAGCATCATTCGTCCGTCACTTTCCTAATTGCTGGGAAAAATTACCTGACACCCATGGTTTAGAGGAAGAGAGGTTTCTTTTGGCTCCAAGGCAAGGGGCCTGGTAGAAAGGCCTGGGTAGAGGGAAGCTGAGAACAGAGGCACCCAGGAGGGAGATGAACACTTCTGGTCACACCCGGAAGTGACCAGACCCCTCCTCCCAAGACCCAGTCGGTGATAGCACCCCTCAGAGCATTCCCATCCAGAGCCCTGCCTGTGAGCAGCAGAGGCGAGGCGTGGGGAGCGCTCTCGGTCCAAAGCATCACAGCAATACAGCATGCAGCACTCAGACCCAGGACTCACCCCATTTAACAAGGGGGCTTTCATAGCCCCTTAGTTACTGTGAGGATCCAGTTAGCTCTTCAGAAGAGCCACAACTTGATTGCCACTTCATAAAAGAAACTACATTTTCCCCCATTCCATTTCACTTGGAATGGTAAATAAAGAAAATGGTAAAGCATAGACTATGACTTAACAACCTTTTGATCTTAAAACACATTAGCTGGTTGTTAAAGTTGCAAAGGCAAGAGTCTTCTCCCTGTCAGAAACAGTGGTCTGCTGGCTGCTGGCTGCTGGCTGCTGGCTGCTGGGTCCCGGTAGCAGTGTCCTGGTGATGCACAGATGATGCCCTCTGGTCCCTGAGGACCGAGGTCTTAGGCAGCCCGGACGCCACAATCAGGTCCCCTGAAGGCCGCAGTGACAGTTTCGGAACAGCGAAGGGCGGCTTGCGTCTACTCACATCTCCGCAGTGCCTGGCGTTCCTCTTGTGCACGTGGCCCTCCTTGGGTGCTGTGGTGGCCTTGCCTGCGGATCTCTGTAGTGCAGATGGCACACTCCTGACTGCAACTGCGCCGCCTGTGCTGGGAGTCAGGGCCTCTGCAGTTGCTCAGCTGGAGAGGGCGCCTGGGAGCTGAGTAGCCAAGGAGCCGCAGAGCCGCTGTCCATGCCGCAAGGGCGGTGCTGCCCAGTGCAAGATCAGAGTCGCGCTTAGCTGATTAAAACAGAATAAACTGCTGCAGAGAAAAAAAAAACATTGACAAACTGACATTTATTTTCAAGCCTCTCTAGTGAGCATACCTAGAACATGATAAGCTTTGTCTAAATAAAATGCAAATCAGCCGGGCATGGTCACACATGTCTGTAACCCAGCACTCTGGGACGCTGAGGCAGGAAGGTTGGCAAGTTCAAACTCAGACTAGGAAACTTAGCAAGACACTGTCTCAAAATAAAATATGAGGGCCGGGGATTTAGTTCAGTGGTGCTGCCGCCTGCCTTGCAAGTGCAAGGTCCTGAGTTTGATCCCATACCAAAAAAATAAATAAATAAAACTTTAAAACCCGAAAAGGTCTGAAGGTGTAGCTCAGTGTAAAGGCCTTGTGTTCAGTACCCAGACCACACACACACACACACACACACACACACACACACACACACACACACACACACACACGGTAAAGCCAGGCGTGGTGGTGCACTCCTGTAGTCCTGGTGCCTGAGAGGCTGGGGGCGGGGCTCACAAGTTTGAGGTCAGCCTGAATTATAGACTCAGAGTCTGTCTCCGAAAAGTGAATTTGTTTATTTATATATTTGTAATTAGAGAATACTTCATTAGTTTCTGTAATCAAACCCATGTAGGTAAAATGTTATATGTTTAATACAGCATATAACTCCCTATACAATAGAAAAAAATTATCTAGTGTTTCCAGACCAGTATTGTTGTTAATCTTGTTCAGTGCCGTTCTAAGTACTAGCACAGCTAGTTTCCAAAACTTCAGATTTTATATATAACAGTAATTACGGTATCAAATTTTAAGAATAAAAATATTGCAATTTCTGGAGTTGTAGCTTAGCACAGTCCCTGGGGTCACTCCCCAGTACTTCAAAACAAAATGAAGAAAGAAAGATAAAGAACAGTGGGCTAGAATATGTATGAGCCCATGGCTGCATCCCCAGCGTGGGGGCGGCGAACCTTGTAGAGACTTCAGTGACACAAGCAGCCTGCTGTGGCACACGCGCCACAGGTTCACCACCGCTGGCCTAGCAGCTCCAGAAGCAAAAGAGAAGAGTGACTGCACTAGGAGGCACCAGGGGAGTGTGGAGTTGGCTTTCTCTTTTGTGGTTTGGTCCTGGGACGGAAGCTGGGCCTCGCATGTGCCCCCTCGAAGGCTCTGCCTGCCACGCTGCAGGACACACCCACACTTGCACGGCCCTTCTCCACGCAAGCCCTCAATGGGTGGCACCTGGGTGTGCGGCAAGCGATCTCTTTGCTGCCTCACATGTCATTCAGGTTGCACCAAGCTGCCTTTTGTAACCTCCATGGAAACTGGCCTTTGATTCAAAATAGCAGTCATTTATTTCTCTGGGGGTAAATAAGAGAGGCTGCTTATAAATATAAATTTAAGGCTGGGGATTTAGTTCAGTGGTTCTGCCGCCTGCTTCACAAGCACAAGGACCCGAGTTCGATCCCCAGTACCCAAAAAATAAATAAACAAATATAAATTTATTTTAATCTCTGGACTTCAGAATTAAATATTTTCTTCCATGAGAGAAATGCTAACTAGATTAAGCGTAGAAACAAGGAGAACTGTCATGTTAGCAGATGTCGGTGGTATACAAGTCAGGGTTTCCTGGTTTGTCTGTATTTACGCCAAAGGAAGTAATTACCAGTGTTCAGGATGCAGCTTTTATGTTTTGAGTGAACGTAGTTTGAGATTCAAACATTGTAAGAATGCTCGTTGGTGACTAAATTTGTCAAGTGCGGTTTACTATTCACACAAGCTTTAGTTCATTCCGATGAGCATGATGGGAAGGCACGGAGCATGTTAAATTGACCTTGGCCTGCCGTGCATCCTGGGCCCCTCCACCCTGCAGCCTGTTACCCCAGCAACGTCACCAGTATCGCCCGGCGCTGCTGGGTGAGGAGCCTGCTGTTAACAGCTCCACTCCACATGTTGTGGCTAGTTTGGTAGAAGGAAGTTTAATTTTTAGTTAATAATTAATCTCCAATGTTTATTACCTTAGTTCTGATGTGATTATTTTATTTTGAGACAGGGCCTGGCTTTGTAGTTCAGGCTGCCCTGGAACTCGCCACCATGCCCAGCTAATTCTGTTGTAATCTTGATGTGCTGTGATCTAATTTAGGCTTCCTGGCCATACCCAGGCTTTGTCTGTAAGTTCACACATCAGTTAATATCACATAATACCAAATACAAAAATGTAGTGAGTCATTTGATTTCTTTTAGCTGGAAAACTGCATTTATGTTTTCCTAGTACCTAAGTTTTTCAGTGGCATTTTCATAGCAGTACAAGAATGTCTCCTCATATAAAAACAATGTAAACCGTATTAAGGTCTTTTTTACACTGTGTATCATGTATCTGTTCCATAAAAGCAGAGCTACTCTAAATGCCAAATACCTTCTGATTGCTTGGGTTTTGCCTTGTCAGACACTGCCAGTGCAGTATTTTGGGGTTTTTTGAGGCAGGGTCCCTGTGTGACCTACACTGGCCTTGAAATTTGCCATCCTCCTGCTTCAGCCTCCTGAGTGCTGGAGTTACAACCATGCACCACCACACCAGCTCTGTGCCACTTTAGACCATGAAACTTGACAGGTAACGTATCTGGAGTCCATGAAAAGTGAGATTTATCTTGAGATTTCTAAATCTCTTGGACTCGTGATATTTCAGCAGGCCGTCTTGGTGAGGTAGGAAGTACTCAGGGGAATCAGACTGGGCTCCGGCGTGGCCCTGGCACTGTAGCCAGGTGGTGTTGGGAATCAGTACCTGCCTGGGTTTCATTACCTTTAAAGCAAGAGGGTGAATTAGATGATTTCTCATGTCTCTTCTACTCCTAAATTCTGTGATTTTAGGGAGAAAATCCCTCAGCACTCCTGGGATGTAGATCTAATAGTCCCATATATTGTGGCACTTCCCTCCTGGCGCTAAGGAGGGATGGGGAAGGCTCCAAGTAAGTATATCCTCCCCCTCCTCTCCCTTCACCTTCCCTGCAGAGCAGCGGCAGGAGTCCTGGTGGCCGTCTCCAGATTGGAGAAAGGCTGGTGCTGCCGCTTTTCAGATGCAGTCTCTTGACTCAGACTTGAGCAACAGCAGTCTTAGATCCTCTGCATCCTGAAACACTGTTTTTGGAAATCTGAGTTTTCATTTACCTGGGGGATGTGCCCTCCTAAATTTCCCCTTTGGCATTGCAGAGCTAAGTGTGGCCCTCGCCTCACCTGGTTGCTGATTTACAGGTGCAGGTGACTCAGACACAGGAAGGATGCAGTCGGTGGTGGGTTTTACTCTAGCTGCTCAGCAGGCGGGGGCGGGCATGCGGGGAGCGGTGCCCGGTGTCCAGTGTCTCCGCACACTCGCTCAGAAGTAAAGGGTGGAGCCAGGGTCACAAGTGTGCACTTGGAAGCAAGAGGACCCTAGCCTAGTGTATCTCGGTCGAAACTGAACATCAGAAATGGAAGATTCTCAACTCCAGACTGAGGCCCGAGGGTCTCTGGGTCACAGGGAGCGAGGTGTGTGAGCCAGCCGGGGACGTGCTCGCCCCAGGCTGGTCCCTGCCCCTTGGCATGGAGGCCCCTGGGAGCCGAGCTGCGTCCTGGGTCCTGTCCCCACTTCTGACCCGCCTTGTGTGCTCGCTGGCCCGGCCTGGCCTGATGGCCGCGTCCCTCCAGCCCGCCTTGGTTCCCTGTGGCGCTGCTTCCCTAACACCTCTCTGTTTCCGTAGGTTCCCTTTGTAAAGAATCCTTTTCTGCTCCAGCATCGTCTGCGTCACTCATGCCGCTCACTCCCTTCTGGACCCTGCTGCAGTCCAGTGTGCCTGTGCTGCAGCCACCCCTGCCGCTGGAGATGCCCCCCCCGCCGCCGCCGCCTCCAGAGTCCCCGCCCCCGCCCCCGCCCCCACCCCCGCCCCCGGCCGAGGACGGCGAGATCCAGGAGGTGGAGATGGAGGACGAGGGCAGCGAGGAGCCTCCCGCGCCCGGGACAGAGGAGGACCCGCCTCTGAAGCCGGCAGCACAGGCCGCCGTTGTCACCAGCCAGGTGGGCGCCCCGGAGGGTCCCAGGTTCAGGCCTGATCGGCACCAGGGGAGCAGGCCGAGCCCTGACCACATGTGTGTTTCAGAGCACTGTGGATGCCGCCATGTCCAGCCCTCCTTCCACTAAGGCGGTGAAGAGAAAGGCGGCGGAAATGAGCAGCGCAGTGGTTCAGCGGTCGGCCACCATCGGGAGCTCCCCGGTCATCTACAGCCAGCCGCCCGTGGCCACAGGTGAGCAGGGGACAGCGTGGTGCTGCCCACTGAGGGGTTTGTTTCCAGCATTGGACTCTGCAAGCTGAGGAAATGTTAGCGGTTTTGATTGCCGAGATCTGACACATTTCCTGCAGTTACTAAAGGCCGTCAGAGCAGCTCGGTGTGTGCCCTTCCACCTTGTTTTCTGTACGTCACACTCATTGAGTGGTTTCGATGTTTCATTACCTTAGTGCTAAATACTCAGCAGTCATGTTTTGCTACAGCAAGTGTGGCTTTTTTTTTTTTTTTTTTTGAGACAGTCTCGCTGTGTAGCCCAGGCTGGCCTGGAACTCGCAGGGATACTCCTGCCTCAGCCGCCTGAGTGTTGGAATTACAGATGTACCACCATCCCCAGCTGGCTATTGTTTTTTTTTTTTCTGGTACCGGGGATCAAACTTGGGACCTTGCGCTTGTGAGGCAGGCACCGGAACCACTGAGCTAAATGCCCGGCCCCTGGCTGGCTATATTTTTATGAGGAGAAGGTGTTTTGAAATCAACTTAGAAGCATTGTGATCCACGGTTCCCTTTTCCTTCTAGGTCTTGCTTTTCATAATGTTTCATCTTTGTGCTAGGTCTCCAGGCCACAGGGATTGGACACCAGCCCGTGTCCCTGAGCCACATGGCCACAGGCATGGGTCACCAGGCCCGAGGGTTGAGCCTGCAGTCCAGCTACCTGGGCCTCACGCCGGCCATCGTGAGTTACACCGAGTGCTCTGTCCCCATGGGAGTGACCACGGCCTCCCTGCAGCCAGTCCAGGCGCGCCCGGCAGCCGCTGCCATAGAGCCACCACCTCCACCACCGCCGCCTCCTTCTACGCTGCCACCACCACCAGCTCCCAAAGCGCCACCCCCGGAGAAGACAAAGAAAGGAAAGAAAGATAAGGTAGGTCTCCTCCAACGTGTTGAGACAGGGCCTTGCCAGGTTGCCCAGGCTGGGCTCACCCTCACAGGCTGCTAGGCCTACAGGCATTTGTGCCTCCCCACTTAGTTAAAATTAAGCTTTTTCAGAGTATGCCATTGAATCCCATTAGTACATTCACAGTGTTGTGCGATCACTGCCTCTACCCGATTACAGAACAGTCTCAGTTCCACCAAGGAACGCTCTGTATCCGCTCCACAGCCCTCCTGTTTATCCCCGGTGCTTCCCCGCGCTGCTGGTCCGTGTGACCCTGCAGGGCCTGGCCTCCACCGCTACAGTGTCTTCTGGGCTCAGGTCGGTGCACATCCGCTCCGCTCTGTCCCGCCGCCTGCTGCTCCTGTGCCTGTCACCTCGAGTTAGGATCCAGTGCGGGCTTCTGGTCGCTGTCTTCGGCGCTTCCCAGGGTGTCCCACACTCAGGTCCTCCTGTCTGTCTCACTGCATCTTGGTTTCCGCCGTGCCCACCCTGGTGGGCATGAGGTGGCAGCTCCCTGGTTTGCTTCCCTTCTCCCCAGTGAGGAGCGAGCGGTCCTGAGTGTTTCCCAGGCTCTCTGGGGCCATCTGTCTGCCCCGAGAAGTGGCCCCGCCCCGCCCACGCCCAGCAAGTGCCTTGCTGCCAAGCTGCTTCCCGGCCCTCACCGCATCCTTTCACAGCCCAGCTCTGCTGCTCTGGCTGCCCTCAAGCGTGCCGTCCTGCCTCAGCCTCCTGAGGGGCTGGGGACAGGCATACTCGGCTCTTCGCCCTTTTTAAGTTGGGTTGTTTATTTTCTTACTGTTGAATTATAAGAATTCTGTGTATATTCTAGGCATAAGTCCTTTGTATCGTGCTTTGTTACTGCCTTCTACCTGTCTGTACTTTGTCCCTCCTTTGGTACTGGGATTTGAACTGGTCACTGAGCTCCATCCCCAGCCCTTTTTAATTTTCTGAGACAGGGCCTCACTAAGTTGCCCATCCTGGCCTTGAACTTGGGATCCTCCTGTCTCATCCTCCCAAGTGCTGGGATTACAGACATCCACCACGAGGTATTATATTTAGAAGTACAATTTAATCTTTTTTCTCTGATGTGAATTATCCTTTTGATAACATTATCTATAATCCATTGCAAGGTGATGAAGATTTGTTCATGTTTTCTTTTCTCTTTTTGGTACCAGGAATCAAACTCAGGGCCTTGCACTTGACAGGCAGGCACTGCACTGCTGAGTTACATCCCCGGCCCTCATGTTTTCTTTTAAGAGGTTCATCTTTTTTGTTCTTGTTGTTTCTGTTTTTTTGGTACCAGGGATCCAACTCAGGACCTTACGCTTTCGAGGCAGTGACGGAACCACTGAGCTAAATCCCTGACCCCTAGAGGTTCATTGTTTTAAAACTTATGTTTAGGCCATTTTGGGTAATGATGTTTCTTTTCCCGAACATGCTTTGAGGGAGGGAGCCAGCTCCTGTTTCGCACATGTGCTGCCAGTTTTCCAGCATGAGCTGAGGACCCGACCCCATTGCACGTGCTGGGGGCCGAGGGAGAGCATCTGCCCCGCCCTGCAGTGCTCGGACCTTGGCCTGGTTGCTGCACAGCACTGGCTCTGCAGCTCTGTTCTGTGTGGTACTGGTCGCACCCAGGACCAGACCTGCTGGACAAGTGCTTCGCCCCCCAGGCTCTGTCCTGGCCTCTCGCTGCCCCTCAGTCACACCCAGTTTGAACGTGGCGCTGCTCCCTGCAGCTCGTGCTGGCACTGCTTTCAGGAGCATTTGTGGTTTTCAGTGTGAATCTTCCTTCTTGGTTCAGTTTATTGTTTATTCTTTGGGGCGGTATTTTAAGTGGCATTGTTTTCATTTATTTTGGGGTTATTGATTGAGCATAGAACTGATTCATACCTGTGGGTCTTACCTGGGATTTTGAAGTTTGTTGGTGTTAGTATTCGTCTGCACACGTGTGTGTTGTGCTTCACGTCTGACTCCTGCCTGCCTGTACTTCCCCTCCAGTTGTCACACCTCTGCCACTGCCTTTTTTGCCCAACACCCTGAGCATCTAAAATATGTCATTGGTCTCATCAGAGGTCCCAGACAGGCTTTTTACAAACTATGAATTTCTCTAGTCAACAAGAATATTTGATAGCCGGCCGTGGTGGTGCAGGCCTGTGATTCCAGCGCTCCAGAGGCAGAGGCAGGACGGTCGGTCGCTATGAGTTCAAGGCCATCCTAGGCTACATAATGAATTCAAGGCCAACCTGAACTACATAGTGAAACTGTCTGAAAAAAACAAACAAAAAATAGAATATTAGGGATCAGGAACTGGGCATGGTAACAGACCTGTAATCCTAGCACTCAGAAGACTGAGACAGAAAGATCGCCACAAGTTCAAGGCCTGCCTGGGTTACGCGTATTGAGTTCAAGGTCAGCCTGAAGTACACTGGGAGACCCTGTCTCAAAATACAAAGGCTAGGGATGTAGTGAAGTACAGGAAGTACAGCGTACAGTGGCCTCAGTATTGCCAGGAAAAAGGCGGACCGGGTAAAGCTGGGCCTTTCCAGTAGCTTCTCCTTCCACAGCAGCGCAGACTCTCTCAGTGAGGGCGTTTCCTGTGCGCTGTCAGGAGCTCTCAGCAGGGCTGTACTGGGACTCGAGTCAGACAGAGGCTCGGCTTCCACTGTCCTTTCCTTGCAGTAGAGAGTGGGTGGCTTGGAACGTCACTCAAGCAGGTGTGTGCATCTCCATGAATGGGTGGGGAAGTGCGTTGCCGGAGGGAGGCGCTGCGGGTCCTGCTGTGGCGGATCCACACGTTTTCCTTTACTTCCAAAGTGTGTTTACTATAGATAGGTTAGAAAATGAGGTGAAACCAAGGAAGAGTGACAAGTTACACCAGTGTCCTGGCGCTGACCGGCATCAAGCTGCCGCGGGGGCCAGGCGAGTCCTCTCCCCTTCCTCCTCCACACTCAGCTGCCCTCCTTCCTGTGCCTTGGAAAAGCTAGAGCTTTGCTTCCAGACCTCTTGGTTTATCCCTTGCCTTGCCGTGAGCACTGCAGTGAGGAGAAGGCCTGGGGCAGCTGCTCGGGGGTGGGGTAATCAGGGCCGGAGCTGCCTGTGCACAGCCCGGGTTCCGCCCATCCCAGCCCTGCAGAGCGTGAGGAGGAGCTGAAGGAAATCATTATCCGGATGGGACTCGATCCTGCCTTGCTGAGGTGCCCTACTCCTTAGAGACAGGGAAAGCGCTTAGTCTCCATTGCCTTACTGTATCTATTATGTACTTTCTGACCCTTAACCCTTGTTACAGGCGAAGAAGAGTAAAACCAAAATGCCATCTTTGGTAAAGAAGTGGCAGAGTATCCAGCGCGAGTTAGATGAGGAGGAAAACTCAAGTTCCAGCGAGGAGGACCGGGAATCCACAGCCCAGAAGCGCATTGAGGAGTGGAAGCAGCAGCAGCTGGTCAGGTGAGGGCAGCACAGCGGAGGAACCTGGGGGTTTCCACAAACGCGATGGCCGTGGTGTTTGTAGTTTCAGTGAGGGGTCTGTTTGCTTGCGGTGCAGTAACCTGTGTGTTGTCTTCACAGTGGCATGGCAGAGAGAAATGCTAATTTTGAAGCCCTTCCTGAGGACTGGCGAGCAAGACTAAAGAGAAGGAAAATGGCTCCAAACACATAGTTTAAATTTTTTTTAAAAAATTTTGTTTTGTTTTGTGTTGGTTCAGAGTCCTAACCAGTCTTACTGTTGTCCAGTAAACTAAATGTTATGGGGAACGTGCGCGCTTGCTGGTGAAGCACATTCGCGTAGTGTCATCCTCTCCTGCAGTGTCACTGTCTTGGTTTTGCCAAAGGAGGTGATGGGACAGCTTCGACCTGGCTGGCCTTACTCCGATGCTGGCCACCCCGGCACGGCAAGTATGAGCCTGCCGCCTCTGCGAGGCTTAGCGACAAGTGGAGGCTTTGCCTGCCTGCTAGAGCTGAGCTCCGTCCTAATGTGGCTCTGACTTCTACTCCGACAAGTGCAATTAGAAGCAGCTCTGTCTGCCTTGCTTGGCTTCAGACCCCTCCGCTTACCGCCTGGGAGCGCTGAGCTGTCGGCTGATGTGCCCAGGAGTCCTGTCTCACAGGCTGGGAGCCCAGTCATTTGCATGCCAGGTGGCAGGGTTCCATTGTGATACAGGCAGCAGTGGCCACGGTGGTTCAGATCCTCGGTTTTGAGAGATTTCCCCCGAATACACAGCAGGAAGTGTACCAAGGGCCACTCTGTGTCTAGTGTGTCCGTTGTACCCTGTCCCAGAGTCACCTCCCTGCTCTGTGAATGTGGACTCCATAAAATTCCAGTATTTAAAAGGCAGTTTGCTGTTGTACTTTCTGTTGTATCACAATCAGGTAAAGTCACTTTAAACTGAAGAAAAAACAAATTGTGTTTTAAAGCTGTTTTTATTTCTCCAATTTCTGACCTTGTAAATTTTGTATATATGCACTAATAAAACTCTTTTTATACTTGTGCTTGGTGGTTTTTTTAGTCTTCTAAACCTGTTACTTCAATTATGTAGCCAGGACTTATTTTCTGTCAGTTGGTGTTTGTGTACGGGCGAGGCCTGTGCAAAACTGGAGCTACTCCGGAGAGCGGCAGGGTCTGGGGCTGGCCATGGGGCCGGGAGGGCAGTTAGCAGAGCGGCCCTGCGGCCTTAGACGCTGCCCTGCAAGCTGGAGCTCTGCTTTCGGAGCTTGCGTCCTGGGTGTAATACCAGCTCTATTTGACCTGCTTAGTCCTGGAAATGATGTACTGTGGTTACCAGTTTGAAAAAAAGGTTACCCTTTATAGCTCCTCGATGAATGTAGCACACAGCCGATTATGTTCATATAAAGTTAACCAAAAGCAACAGTAGTTTGGATTCTACCCCAGTATATGCCTATAATTACGATTATATATGCATGTAATTAAAATTTTTTACCTACCACGTGTCACATAGGATGGTGTGGCAGATTTATTATTATCAAGGTGCCCTTTTTTGTTTTTGAAGCAAAATGTTTATTGGCATGTTTTAGGGGTCCATAATGCTAACACTCATCGCAGGGATTTCGCACCTCCACATGGTACACCCCAGCCCTTTTTTTCCCATTGCCCCTCCCCTCCCTACAGACAAAAGCTTTTGTCTCCATTTTTTCCTTCCATTTTCACTGTTGTTCTTGTCCTTTCCTTCCCCCTCCCATGTTCCCTTTTCCATTTGAACATTTTTTTCCCATTTCCCAGTGTCTTACACATTTCAGTCCTTATTTCCACTTAGGGTTTCACACACCAGAGACAATGTGGTATTTACACATGTGTGTCCGATTTATTTCACTTAGTATCTTCGGGAGGTGCATCCATTTAGCTAGAAATGTCTGGAGCTCAGGATGCCCATTTTGTACATAAAATTGTTATTTGCATAGGGTAAAATTATTATTTTTTTTTTTGCTACTGGAGATCGAACTCGACCTTGCGCTTGTGAGGCAGGTGACAGAACCACTGAGCTAAATCCCTGACCCACGCATGGGGTAAATTTCTCCAAATAAAGGCTATCAACATGCTGTTAAGTTTCTGTCTTAACTGAGCCAGGCTTGATGACGCATGCCTGTGATCCCAGCATTTGGGATGCTCAGGCAGGAGGATTGCCTGGAGTTCGAGGCCAGCCTGGACTACATAGTTCAGGGTCAGCCTGAACTACAAAGGAAGACTGTGCCGCAAAAAAAAAAAAAAAAAAAAGATTTTGTTTTAAATGCTCAAGTTTTCCAGACTTGGCCTTCCTCACCTGATACAGAATTGACCATTTTTAAGAATCTGGTGACTTGGGTTTGTTTCCTCCTATATGGTTGATTGCTCGCAGTTTTCAGCTAAGAAGGTGGTTTTTCCCGTCTGGCTGCAGGGTGGAGAGAAGTGGAGAGGGGAAGCCGCCCCCGGGAGCACTCAGTCCAATTTACACACTGGTGCAGGAATGAGTCCGGGTCCTTCGTGGGCGGGGGCCTAGATGACCGCAAAAGCCCCTTCGCCGGGCCTACCCGCTCCTGGCCCACGGTTGCTAGGCTACGCCGGCGTCCGGAGCTGGGCGCGGGGGCGAGCCTGTCCCGCGAGGCTGTACGCGGCCTCTGCCCTGCCCAGCGGGCTCCGCCTCACCTTGGAACTTCTGCTCCCCCGCTCTGTGACCCTCCCGGGCCAGGTAGCCCCAACCCCGGACCTCCCAGCCGCCAGATGGCAACGCCTCGGGGTGCCCCGCCCCGCTTCTTTCGCTTTCTTCCGGACGTCCTGGTGGATAACATCCCCCAGAAGGGAGAGAGACCGAGCCAGGGAAGCATCAGCAGGTGTGGTACTGGGGCTTGAGCTCAGGTAGCGTTGAGCTACATCCCAGCTGTTATTTCATTTTAGTTGTTTTTTGTTTTGTTTTGTTTTTCTGTAGCGGGGATAGAACTCAGGACCTTATGCTTGCCAGGCAGGCGAGGCGCCACTGAGCTACATCCCCGGCCCATGTCGTTTTAATCTTTTTTTTTTTTTTTTT